TTAACATTTAATTTCAGTAAATTATAAAGTTGGCAATAATAAAATGGTATTTCTTTTTTAAAAACATCTTCAACATATTATTTAAAATTATTATTTATATTGTTTTTTAAAATAGATAAATTAAAACGTAAATAAATTTTTTTATTCATTTTTTTATTAACCTGAATATCCAACCCGCTATGTGAGACGATTAATCTTAGAGCGACTACCTGCTTTACAGATAGTCTGTAGTCACCCTATTTGAACCTCCGTGACCATAAGAGGATTTTTATTTCTCATTGGATTTAAACTCGTGACCTCCAGATACTTTTTACCTTTGAAGCCAAGCTAAAATCAATCAGTCACCACCTTTGTGGTTATTTTTTCGATTCATTACTGTCAATGAGTTCGAATTACTCTTATTTTACATAAAATTAAAAAAAATTTGGTATTATTCTAAAATATTTTAGTAGTATAATTAATGTTGAAAACTCTAAAATAAAAAAAAAAACTAACAACTTGTGATAAAAATTGTAGAGAATTTTAAATAATTTATCGAAATACAAAATATTAATTTTAAAAATATTTAAAAGCTTCATTATATTCCTCGTCCAAAACGAAAAGTTGTTCAACTTGTTAATCATTTTCTTAAAGTAATGTAATGTAATGTTCATGCAGTTTATATATTTTATAATAAGAAATACGTTGATTAATTATATTATATTTTATAAGAATCAATGAAAAAGTAGAAAGCAATTTATTGGTTTCTATGGGCTGAGAAAAGGCGGCGGCCGTTGTTTTAGTCGTCTAGTGACTTTCGCTGCTCCGGGCAACGCTGAACGCCATCATGTGCAAGTTGTGGTACGATATACGCTGCATTTATTTTCTTTCTTTCAAAGCATATATTTATAAATAAATAATTACACGAAAAGTTAATAGAAATACTCATTTTCAAGTGTCGAATTTATCTAATCATCATTTGTCTTTCCAAATTTCATTATTTTTTTAAGTGACTCCTCGATTTATGAAGGATCAAAATGTAAAAAATAATAAAATTTCGAGCATGATTCACAAGCGTTGGGACTAATTTTCATATTTGGTTGAGAACCATTTTCCTAAAATTTTTTATAGGTTGAGGAGTTGCTACTTACAAGAGTAGTGACATCTTTATAATATTAAGAGAAAAATAAATACGAAACCTAAAAATGGTTATTTTAACTAATTTCCCTAATTATAAAATATATTTATAAGTTTTGTTTGTTGTGTGTTTTATACATGGTTTTTAATTAATCAATCTAGCAAATGATGGAGATGTAGTTATGATCTTATCCAATCAAGCGTTTATATGGGTCTAGTTTTATTATGAATGTTGAATATTTTGATCACCCTTCATGTATTAATATTATGGGAATCACAATTTTCGACTATTCTCGGTGTTTTTCTAATCATTGTAGGTATCCTTGTGGCTTTGAGTTCGAATTTTCTTATCGTTACATGGTGTCTTTGGATTGAATGACACTGTTTGAACCAGAATCACTTAGACTTTTCATTTGCCTCGATTATCATTTGGATGGTTACAACTGGATACAAGATCCACAATTACTCAAGATGGAAGTTTTTTCGACGGAAAACAAAATCCAGGCACCTACCAATTGAATACAAGGATTTCAACGTGATACTCATATTAAACAAAATTGGGTGTAGGACACCAATAATTTATAAACGTTCTAATAGATCGCTTTATGGGATGATAAAAAATAAATAAAAAAAATGTCATATCTAAAGACGTTGTAATAAGTTTATAGAATTTTTTTGGACGTCTTAACAAGTTTTTATAAAAAAAACGTCGTATTAGCTATTTTATATGACATTATTTGAAAAAGTGTTTTGTAAAAACAAGTATCTTATAAAAAGATGAATTATAGGTCATTTTTATCAAAAGGGTCGTGTCATATAAAATTGCTAATGCGACACTTTGTAATAAAAGTTCATAAAAACTTTTTAAGGCGCCAAAAGGTGTCGCATAAACTTATTACAACGTCTTTAGATGCGTTGCTTTATTTTTTGGTTCTATAAATTAAGTCTTATAAAACAGCCTATTAAGACACTTAGAAATTGGTGGCGTTCTGTAAATCTAATTGTTGCAGTGTCAAAGTCGACAGATGCGGATATGAAACCACAAGATTATGATTGATAATTATTAGTATTTTAGAGTTCTCAACAATTTCAATTTCCAAGTGTTTAATATTTACAAATTTTAAACAATTTGTATAAGTTCTAAAGGATAGTCTTATTTTTGTATTTAAAATCATATAATTAAAATATTCTATGATCAGGATAAAACATTTTTTTATCGTATATTTATGTTAATAATAATAACAAATAAAACATTAAGTATTTTCAAATAATAAAAAGACAAAAACGACCTCAAGTGCTCCTCATTGCAGACTTCACTAACCTCTATTAACGGTTGTAAGTGAGAAAGACCAAAAAACAGAACAATCTGTAGACTATAACGACGACAAGTATAATAAACAGAATTTAGGATCGAAAACTGAAACATGTAGCCTAACTGTAACATAGGGACCCTCAATTTTAGTTTACCATTTGTTTTATTTTAGGCATTGGTTAGGATGTTATCACATATACAAACTTAAATTGATTATTACGCAACTAGTAACTAGATAGATACACTACAGAGATCCATAAAAAGAACTCGAGTTCGAAGCCTCACTCGGACCTGGTTTGAATACCCCTGAGCCTAGTGAGCTTGAAGCTCGGTCAGACCTGGCCTTCAAGTTCCGACGATGTAAAAGATTTCAAGGGCAAGACCGACAATGAAAAAACTTGGTTAAGCCCAAAAAGACCAGGCTGAAAAAACCTGATTGAGCCATTTTTTAACCGTGAAGATGAGACTAGATTGAGAACCCAAGTATCTTGTTGGTTACTAAAAACGAACCCAAAAAAGTATAGGACTTCTACATGTCTAAATACATACATTTGCTTACAAGTTTTGATAGAAACTTGTAATTGTATTTATTAAAACAAATAACACCAAATTTTGTCAAAATGATCAAATTACTGATTGTAAAAAATAATTTGAAAGAAATAAATACATTTTTTAAATTAAAAAGAAATAAATATATAAAGATCAAATCAAATATAAATCGTCTAAATGCTACACACTGTATAAACTAATCTCAGCCTTTGATTTTGTATAATTTAAATTTTTTAGACGGTTATAAAATCAGTTACAAATAAGGTGAAAAGTAAATTTGGGAACTGAATTAATCCACATCGTTGACATTGATTTGATAATCTACACGAACGGTTAAGATTAGTTTGAAGATGTGTTACAATTGGACGGTATGTATTCTAAGTTCTAAAATCTAAATACATAATTGGTTTAAGTTATTGGGCTTCTTTTTAGAGAAAAAGTAGGCCGATGCATTAGAGGCCAGTCCAACTCCTAAACCCTAGCCGAACTGGATGGTGTTGGTGATATAGGGTTACCTTTTGGCCACAAACCCTAATTCCTCTTATTTGCAGCTGAGGAGGGGAGGGGGATAGCGAGTGAGAAGGAGATGGTGTCGCTCAAGTTACAGAAGAGGCTCGCCGCCAGCGTCCTCAAGTGCGGTAGAGGCAAGGTTTGGCTTGATCCAAATGAAGGCAATGAGATCTCCATGGCCAACTCTCGTATGTTCTTACTCGGTTTCTCCCCCCTTTTTTTTTTAGTTTGATTTGCTTCTATCATATGTTTTTGTTGAAACTGTTACTAACAGATGAGCGTCTTCTATTTTGTTTTAAGTTGTGCTTATGATTGTGTTTATGTGAACTTTCTACATGTCTGTTGTTTTTATTCTTCGTCAGTTGATTTAATTTCGATTGCTTCAACTGATCATCGTATATTTTATTGAGTGTTTGCTATTGTATATTTTGTTAATCGCTTAGCTGGTTTATAGATTAGGGACGGGTTGGGTTCTTAGTATATTCTGGTGGTTTATCCACTGTTGGCGTTTCATTGTTGTTGCAAATTCGAGGCATATTGTAGGCATATCATGTATTTTAACTTACATTTTGTAAAGTTGTTAGTAGGGTGTTACAATTATATAAATTTACAAGCGTCTCGTGTATGCTGAAAATTCATAGACCATAGGATCTGAAGAACTCCAGTTTGATTAGGCATTTAGAACGAAAATAATGGATTAGTTCTTGATATCATTTATGCGATATTCTGTTTTCTTCAAAATGGTAACCATTTTATATAAGCATCACTAGGCTCATTTGGAAATTGAAAATGTAAAATAGAGTGTTGTTATTGCAAGTGCTCATGTTGTGATTTTTTCTCTTCTGGATGACTGCAGGTCAGAACATCAGGAAGTTGGTCAAGGATGGCTTCATCATTAGGAAGCCAACCAAGATTCATTCAAGATCACGAGCTCGTCGCATGAAGGAGGCGAAGAGAAAAGGGCGTCATTCTGGATATGGTATTCATCTTTATTTTTAATCCTTAATGGCTATGCAGGATAATTATATCAGACTTCATTTAGTTTTTCAACTACAATGATATTTGAGCATTCAATTTACTAACGATCTGTAGATTGTGTCTGTGGACATAAGCTAAATTGGGTGTACCCAACATATAGGCAGCTTAACTTAGTCAAATGGAAATATTAGACATGTTTTGCTATTGTATACACATTATTTTTAATGCAGCTTTGTCTGATAGTACACATGTGATAGCCTTTAGGTAAACGTGGAAATATACAAAATTGGTTTTACCTTCACGAAATAGTCTGCTCCACCTCCTCTATTTGAGGTAGAGGTCACGTATGCTTATATCCCACCCTCGAGACCCTTTAATGGGATATGTTGTGTTTGTTTAGTTTGGCTTTTGGTTTAGCCAACATATTGGCTGTTAATTTAGTCTTTGAATTAATGAAACTAGTAAACAAGTTTTGCTGTTGTAAACACATCCTCTTAAACTCAGTCGTGTCTAACTGTACACCTTTGATAGTCTTTTAGGTAAATGTGGACATGTGCTAAATTGGGTTTTGGCCAACAAACAGGCTCCCCACCTCTACTCTTTGAGGTTGAGTTCTGGTCTGCAGTCATCCCACCACCAATAGGTGGGACATGCTGGATTTGTTTTTTTTGGTTATTGGTTTACCCAACATTTTGGCTGTTTAATTTAGTCACTGAATTAATGAAAATAGTAAGACATGTTTTGCTAGCAGCTTTATTGTTTTGGGGTATATGTCAAGTCTGTGTGCATCTCATTTTCTCTGGTCCCTACTTTTAAGTAAGATTTACTGGGTCGGGATGGTTAAGTTTGGTTCAGTAAGACACAAGGTCTGTTCTGCAGACATCCCACCCCCAATATCCCGCCTCTGGTGGGACATGCTGGATTTGTTTTGTTTGGTGATTGGCTTACCCATCATTTTGGCTTTTTAAATAGTCACTGAATTAATGAAAGTAGTAAGACATGTTTTGCTAGCAGCTTTATTGTTTTGGGGTATATGTCAGGTCTGTGTGCATCTCATTTTTTCTGGACCCTACTTTTAAGTAAGATTTACTGGGTCGGGTTGGTTTGGTTTAGTAAGACATGTTTTGCTGTTTGCTGTTTATGTATATCTTTCTAAATGCAGATGTGCCTAATAGTACAGTTGTGTGACGGTGTTTAGGTAAACGTAAGGGTACCAGGGAGGCAAGGTTGCCAACAAAGATTTTGTGGATGAGGAGGATGAGGGTGCTTAGGCGTTTGCTTCGCAAGTATCGAGAGTCTAAGAAGATTGACAAACATATGTACCATGATATGTACATGAAGGTGAAGGGTAATGTATTCAAGAATAAGCGTGTGTTGATGGAGAGTATTCACAAATCGAAGGCTGAGAAGGCTAGAGAGAAGACATTATCTGACCAGTTTGAGGCTAAGCGTGCAAAGAACAAGGCAAGCAGGGAAAGAAAGTTGGCTCGAAGGGAGGAGCGTCTGGCTCAGGTATTTGTTACCATTTGTTGAAATCCAATGAGTTTAGATTATCCGACTAAGATCAGTCTAAGATCAGACTACTGATTCTGATCCGTGCTGATCCAATCCAATCCTTCGGATCATTGGATTGGGTTAGGTTTAATCTCTTGGATCTTACTGTTGCTTATCTACTCTTTTGATCCAATTCTAACCATTTAGTCCCCACCATTTCAACCAGTTATTCATATATGTTTTCTAATTTTTTAGACACTGCATAGTACATACAAGTGTTTATTGATAACCAGTATTGAAGTATTATCACATAAATATGTTTACTAATTGGATGGTAGTTGAAATGTAATGGGATTGGTTCAGTTTTATTGGATTATTGACTATCTTGAACCAACCAATTTGATTTGGTTGTTGAAAATTTAGATCCTGTTTGATCCAATTTTGGCCAGTTCTAACTAGGATTTAAGAAGCAGTTTGAAGCGTATGCCTCGAGTGCACCTCTTGGACCCTCAACAAGGCTTCTGCCTTGGTTCAATGAGTCGGTGAGGCGTGTGAGGTGTTGTTGAGGCGTATGTCTTAGATGATCTGCTTTAGTATTGTTCTTTTTGGCTTTTTTATAAGCTTTACCCCAGTAGCCCCAATGTGTACTTTTAATATTTTAAAAAGCCAGAAAGCTAGTACTTTATCTTCTCAATCAAAAAGTGTGGTTTGACCCTTTCTCTTCATCCAAGCAACCAATTTTTCCACACCTTCTCGGTCTATTTCATGGTTTCACTCTTTCTTCTGTCAAGAACCACTGAACCAGTGCCCCTAATAATTTACTGTTGTATATATATACATATTTTGGTGTATGTATATCTTTGAGGCATGCGCCTTGCCTCAAGGAGAAAACGGCTTGAGATTCTGCCTTCTAAAACCATGGTTCTAATTTGATAGCTCGGTTTTTAATTGTAATCTTGATGTTTTCTTCTTTTATTGTATTCAGGGCCCACAGGAGAAAGTTCCCGCTCCTGCAGCACAACCTGCACAGTGAGTTGTTGACAATAACTTGCCTCTATTTTGCTTTAAATTGTTAAGAAATTTGAGTCTTTTGAGTAATGTATTGTCTTACATTTCTTTCAGGGCATCAAAGAAATCCAGGAAATGAGATCTAGAAATGATATCTGGATGGCAATATCAGGGATGAAGAAAGTTGATGCTTTTATTTGTCTTAAAGTTTTGTTCTTTGATCTTTTGCCCTCTTTGATTTTGTTGGGAGACGGTTATATTAATCTTTATTCAAGGATGGTTTTGGTTCTTCTGAGTTGCACTTGCCATTATCTTTGGATTTCTAGGCCTCTCCAACCATAATAGATATTTTGCACCAGGAAAAACTAGGCGTGTTGGTGGCTTGGTTTAGTGTGCTTTGGAGCCAAACCGTAAACCTCTTTTCACATGTGTGGTTTATGTGATGTGTGGGTGGTTTTTGTGAGTTGTATCTAACATACTTTACATCTACAATCCAATGATTAAAACTTTATCACAAAACCAACAGTAATGTGAATTTAGTCCAAACAAATAGAAAGTTCAAATTCATCTGAGAAAACTAGAAGTGTTGCATAATAAAAAATAGTTTTAAGAGCAGTAGCCTCATTATATATAAATAAAATGTGTGGTGTAGTTCGACTCTGGTTTGTTTTGATCTCATAACTGCAAACTGCACCGTGCTTGCGCTGTGGGTAGTCTGTGTGCAGTTTAGATGCGCATCTGAGATAAAACCTGATTTCGTGCTGAAATTTTTTAGCTCCTAACTCGGGACAAAACGTACAATTTGCCGAAACATACTCGAATGATTTCGAGTTTCCACAAAACTTTACATGACGCCTTTGTAACATGAGCAAAAGTGATTATAATAAAGAAAACTTGTTTTTGGATCAATGTTTTATGGGACATTCATTCAGCCAATGCACCTGTTAACACGTAACATTTATTTTCCACTTGTTAATGTATTGATATGTTTTACGAGACCATTCTGCATTGCTCTTGGAATGATGAATGTCGTAAGTTGCAATGTTTAATTAAGATACAGAATAGACCAACTCTCAATGCATGGGCTTCTATAAGATCGACTCACAAACTACAAATGGTCATCATATATACTCTTAACTTTTCTGGAAGGGTGTTCCAGACTATGCCTGGACTAATCCCAGCAAACTGTAAGAAATCCGCCCTGATAAACTCAATGACCACAATTGTTGTGTACGCCTGAAGTCGAACTCTGGTCTATTTTACCATCAATTTTTCTGCTACAAGTCGTTAATTAATTACTACCTTGATATTTATTTGCAGAAAAAGAGTTTTTTTTTGCAAAAAAGGATGTCATTACCATCCAATTGGTTATGTAAGCTAGAAACTCCTATGGTAAAGTGACTCTCTCTCGAGTTGTCGATGTTTGATCAGTTCGCCACTGCCAATATGGGTTCGTGCTTTCGGAACCATAAGTTGTTGCATGGTTGGGTCAACTGGGGGGTAGTTGCAGTGGGCGAGTTTCACCAGGAATGTAACTGTTGTACCCTTCCCCAACCCTCCACTTTCGATCCAAATGTGGCCTCCCATCAGATTTACAAACCTGCAAATCATAGTTATCGTAATTAAGATGATACACAAACGGGATTTCAGAATGAAGAATTGAATACTCTCTCCTTCCAAAAACCACTGTCCGGGTTTTTATTTTAGGGTCCATTTACCAAAGGCTTACCCAGCAAGCGCTTATCAGGTCACTTACCTTACCGGATGAACAAGGACTGAGATTTGGTAAGTGAGGGTGACGGCTCTTACCTGATTAGCGCTTACCGGGTAAATTGTTTTGATGGATTAAAATCTTACATGGTAAGATGAGGGTGTTGACTCTTACAGGTAAGTTACCAGGTAAACGGGACCTTGGTTTTTCCCAAAATAAGTTATTTACTTTCCAATTCTAAGCTTCTTTACCTCTTTATTATTAAGAGTGAAACTGTCCTCATTTAGTCAACTAAGAAATGTAGTAAATACACAATTCTGAAAACTGTGTGCCATTTTTTTATAGTAGACGTTTATTTTGCGAAAGAGGAAGTACAGAAACAAATAATACCTTTTGCATATGGCAAGTCCAAGACCTGCACCATTAGTGGTTCGGTTGGATGCACTGCGAGGCTCCGAAAACTTTGTAAAAATGTGTGGAATGTCTTGTTGTTTGATCCCAGACCCAGAATCCTTCACCTGCATCGATGAATGTTGTGAATGCAAAAAACTTTGAGCTGCTTGTTTGGATAAAGATCACCGAAACCAACTCAAAAAGGGTTTTTCTTGAAGTTACAATGATATTTGTTTAGAATCCAAGGTTAATGAGTAAGGGCTTTTTTGTTAGCAGCTTAATGAGCTTAAAGAGGCCACAACTTATTCGGTCGGCTATACATGACTGTTTGGTAGTGGCTTAATGATATATAAAGTGACTTATTCGGTAAGCTTCCCGGGGGGAGCTTTATGTAGAAAGCCAAGTTTTTCTTCGAACCTACCCCTTCCAATCAAAAGGCATGCCCCTCCTTCCATCTAGAAGAAAGTCCTCACAAACAACAAACTTCCCGATCTATACAGATAGATTAATCCACACATAGTTTTAATTATACAAAACTTAATGGAAAACCATCCAAACAGCCCCTAAATCTCTTTTGGGGGTCCTATGGTCAAATGATATTCCCTCCAAAAAAAATTTGATCACGACCTTTTGACTGGTTTGAGAATACCCCTGATCAACAGAAAGAATGCCACTTCCATACACAAGAATGCCTACAAAATTGTTAGAAGGTCATGAATGTAAAAAGCACTTGTCAGGAAGTCATTTAGCTAAAAGTAACCCCTTCATTGTGTTATTCAATTTTCATTCGAACATCAGATAAAAATATATGGTGAATACTCGTGCAACGACTCGGTTCAGTGTGTGAGAACACATGAAACCCCGTTAGATTACTCTCTAAAAAAGCACTTGAGAGAAGCAAAGTTCCAAGTTCCAACAAATATTGAGGAGAAATGGTCAAGTCTAGCAAATACTGACCTGCACAAGTAGGTAGAAGAGACCATCAGTCAAAGTAGGGCAGAAGTCGGGAGTTTGCCACTCTTGTAAATAATCTGGACTCAAAACGGAGGCTTGAATTGAAACGTAACCCCCCTTGGTGAACTTCACCGCGTTACCAGCAACGTTCAAGATAATTTGCATAAGACGCTTTTCATCACCAATGCCATATGGAGGTAGGTCGAGATCACAGTTCAGTGTCATGGATGTGTTTTTCACAGATGCTATAGGATTTATCAATCCAATGACCTATAAACAGCGATAAATAATGAGCCGTATTCGTGCATGCCATGGATGTCCAAACCGATGAATTTAAGCTAGAAGTTACCTCTTTGAATAGCCCGTGAAGGTTGAACACTTCATTTTCCAATTCTAAGCTACCATCTTCTAGTCTAGAGAGGTCCAGAACATCATTTACGAGTGCTGCTAGAAGGTTGCTACTCTTAAGTATGGTCTCTATCATGGCCCTTTGTTCGGGAGTAAGCTCAGTTTCCAAGAGAAGTGAAGACAATGCTATAATTGCATGCATAGGTGTTCTCATTTCGTGATTCATGACAGCAAGGAAATCATTACGAGCATGGATAGCCATCTCTGCTTCTTGTCGAGCCAAGTTCAAAGCAAAATTCTGATCCATGAGCTGGTCACGGGCTCGCATAGATTCTTCTAGGATTGCAGCATGAGAAAGAGCCACAGCAACCTAAGCAATACATCGCAGTAAGTTTAGCACTAGGATAAAGAAAAAGGTCGAACTACAATTCGGCAATCCTTCGTTAATCTTAAGCATCATATATGCAATAAGAATAAGGTGGAGCACCAAAAGAATAACCTTTCAAGATGAATTTCTTGGTGGATCTTTAGGGTATATGCCAATACTAGTCACTGCTAGTTAGTTGGCATAAACTATTTGCAATCAAAGACCAATAATGATCAAGGGTGAAGCGAATGGGAAGCTCTCATAAAGATAATAAAGATACAAATAGTAAAAACAAGGAGATAGCAAAAAGGATCACTAGCACAAGGGCAAATTTCGCTGAAGTCTCAGAAGATTCAAAGATTATCTTTTAATAAAATAAACGGTTGTGACATGTTCAATCATTGGTGGAAGCAAATGCCTCCTTCATGGTATCAACCCTTTGTGCAACATAAAGGCTTTGTTATTTATCCATCTATTCATAATTGGTAATGGTCTTCATGTAAATTGTCATGCAGTTTTAATTAGGTGAACACCTTTGAGTCAATAAGAAGTCATAGTCATTGGGACTTCGTTGGTGGTATAAGAAATAAAGGAGTTTTGAAATTATTTATGGGATCACAAAATATGGGCTCACCATCTAAGGCACTTCATCCAGTATGTATCTCTATTATCGACTCTTTTAAGAATAGAAAATGAATCTACTTTCCCAATAATTGTAAGGACATTCTTGATGCCAAGCTAGTTGAGGGAAAATGAAGTTCAACATTTCCCTCTTGGTTAATTTTAGGATGCATGAAGTAAGATTATGGATATAAGCAAAACATCAAGACAGTCAGCATATATACCTGGTCAGCAACAACCGTTACAAGTTCCAATTCATGGTCGCGCCACTTTCTTACACCATTCAGAGGAAGAATCAAGACCATCACAGCATAACTTTTTGCGGAGTTATCAGGCCAATTGTCGATTTCAAAATTCGAGAGATGCAGAAGAGGCACCCGAACAGCAACAACTTCAGGCGGACTGTAGGTTCCAACAGGGGTTCTAATCCTAGCCAGTGGGCAATTATGCGGAATCCTTATTACTTCAGCACTATTGAACACTTTGGTGATTATGGGGAGGTTAATTGGAACTGTGGAGCCAAAAGGTATTAGATTGTGCAAAGAGTGAGAAAGCTGAAGGATCATCCCCTTTCTTGATGGCATCCACAGAACACATTCCTCAAGATCCAAAGTCCTACCAAGCTCAATAAGAGTAGTTTTCAATATAGTGTGCCTGTCAAGGGTGCTTCTAATTTCATGTGTCAGCATTCTAACATGCCTTCCAGTTTCTTCCTGCTTAATGATCAACCCCATTTCCCTACCAAGATCTTCAGTTCTTTGCTTTAAGAACAATTCTCTTGTTTTCACACTCAATAGGTCAGGTATAATGTGAACAAGCATCAAAGCAGTCACACATGAGACGAAAGCGGTAGACAGTTTCGCCACAGTCATTACAATAGCAACAGTTTTGGAGTGGGATGAGAATGTCCAAAGATTTATAAAATGCGTCGCTCCACAGAGAACAATAAAAGCACCAAACTGCATAAGCACCCATCTATATGGGAAGAATGCTGATTTCTGGACGAAATATATAAGTTCCAATGGAATGGAGAAATAGGCAAAAGCAATGAAGAAATCAGATATATACTGATACTTGACCAAAAGCTCATCAGCAGGCCATTGAGGCTCGAAACAGTCACAGGAATCCATTCTCCGTCTACAGCTTCAGAAAGCTGCAATTGAATCATCTCAGTAACAAAGTGATAACATAATTGATGCAGCTCATGATCTCTAACACTTCAAGGATCGTCATGTAAGAGTATTTTGAAGAGATTCTGGAGCTTACATACGAGATCCACAAACATAGTTGTTTCGTTTCACAAGTACAAACTACCAGACTTAAAAAAAATGTTCAATTCGAAGTGTTGATTAAATACATCGCCTGAGTTATCTTCGATGTGATTGAATTAAAACTCGAACTTAGAACAAATCGAATCTAACTTGAAAAATCAAAAAGTTTAGGGCAACAGGAGCAACATACAAAAATCTTCAACTTAGTGATTGATGTTACAGAAAAATGTAAATCAAACATGAAATTTTTCAGGATCATTAAAAAAAAAAACAAAGTCTGAGTAAAGTATAGATAAGATCAAAAAGCAGAAAAGATAACCTTCGAGGAAGAACATGAGAGATTGATGGAGGCTAAAACACTAGATTCAGTTGAGAAAGATGTTGAGCATTCCATTATCTGTGATCGAGCAGAGAAAAGCGTAGGGATAGGGTTCATCAGTTGCCATTTACGGAAAGGGTGCCAAACTCGAATCAATGTATGGAAATTCTAATGGCTTCCCACCGATTTGATTGCAAACTGGTTTCCTTCCAAAAATGATTTTGATGATTTTTTTTGGTTTGGTTTGGTGGTATTTAAATATTTACAAACGTTTAGTCGGAATAAAATATTGAAATCAAGGTTTTGTTGGGATTTATTTATTAGTATTAAATAAGTCAGTTGTAGTCGTAGATGACACAATATCATATCATTTGTATTAATATTTGGAAAAATCATCAAAATAATTAAAATATACGGTATTTTGTATTAATAAAATAATAATTTTTCAGATATTTTTACAAAATAGCCACTTAGATCATTCTTGACGGGCATGTTGACTAAAAAAATAGACAAGAGGACCCATATGTATCTGATTTGGAGGACACAAAATTTAACTTTTATCTAAAAATGGGGATCGCCCCCACCTATCACCAGATCGCCCTTGGGGGCGATCCTACCCCTACTTTGATTGCTATTTTGTTCTCTACTAAGGACATCGATTTGACAATTAGAGAATGTTTTTCAATAAATATGAGATGATTTTGACTGGTATTTTATCTATTTTAGGATAAAAAGTCTGAAAAATGACTATTTTATTAATACGTATATTTTGATTGTTTTGATGATTTTCCCTTAATATTTTAATCTTATAAATGTTTTTAATTGCAAAATTAAATAATAAATTAGGATAAAGAAGAGTAAAAGTATTTAGAGAATATTTATCTTAAATGGTTTGAATATCGTAAAATATCCACGTTTATTATTTACTATAAACGGGAACATAAGGGATGCTTGCCGCACTCGTTTGTCTTATTGTCTTTCAATTCACAACAAAAAAACAGCTTTGCAACTATTCACTATGTATAGAGAGAGATAATATAAATAAGATACAAACCATGGAAATGTTACAAATCAATCTCGACCGTCTATTTAATCTAACAAATCTTTGGTCTCATAAAGATATTGATTGTTTTCAAATATAAAACGTTGACCATAATTAATAAACTCTCATCATTTTTATAAATATTTAAATCATAACAAATGAACTTTTATCATTTTTGTAAATATCTTAATTGAATGGTTTGTATGACTTGAATTTTAAGTAATATATATCAATAGACAATATTTAATACATAAAAAATGATTTTTAATTTTTTTTATCAAATGTTTTATAATATAATATAGGTAAATATTCTTTTAATATTTTCTTTTTACCTTTTTATAATATTTAATCTTATTATTTAAATTAATTCATATAAAACAAGAAAAAAACCATAATACTACCCTAACTTCAAAAGAATACCTCTTTTTGGACGTAAACTTATAATTGAGTCAGCATAAATAATTGATATTTTTAAAGAAAATTTATGGTTTTTAAATTAAAATATTAAAAACTGTTGGGGGAAAAATATAAAGAAGAGTGTTTAAGTTTGATTGATTAAAAAAATGGCGTTTTTTCTGTTGGATGCATGCACCTGCAGCTGCAGCTGCACCTGCCCTGCCCGGCTGGCTGCCCTTTATCATGGCGGTCAACAAAGAAAGATGCATTGTATTTGTGTGTTGATATGACATGCAACTTTATCATTATTCCCTTGAAAACAAGCACACCTATTTTAACATTTTATTTTTCATTCTAAATTTTTTTAAAATAAATCAGAGTATAACTATTACAAAACAAAAAAAAGTTATTTTGACCGACCAAATTTACCTCTTAACCATTTTTTTCATATTTTCTAAAAGAATATTGTTTTTCATACTCAAGGGTGCCATGTGCCCCGTGTAAACATTCCCCAAGAATTTTTCACACTTCAAGGGTGCGTTGTGGCTTTATAACAGTGCACCAACAACCTCTCCGTGTAACACCTCCTCAAGAGAGCTTCTATGTAGCACCTTCGCAAGTCTTGAGGATGGCATCTCTGCAAGTTTTGAGTTTTTCCAAACCCTCATAAGTGATATCCCTCTCCGCAAGCATTAGGGAGGTAAATTCGGTCAACTGAAATGGTTATTTGTGCCACTTAAAAAAAAACATGTATCTGAAAAACATTTTAGCGTTTCCAAAAATTGCAAAAGAAATGCTGTAAATTTTCGTAAGATGTGTCTTTTTTATTGTTAAAATTAAAGTTGTTTTAAGATATTCATGATGAATGTTGAAAGATTATGAATGAGATTTCTAAAATGAATACGGAATTTTTTTGTCTAGTTCTCAGGGATTTTGGATCATATATGTCCTAAAGGAATTAATATACACAAGAAGTCAAATGTAAAACTCTCATTATTGGGTTTAGATTTTCATCCATTCAAGAGATTTATCTCATCTGCTTTAAAGTGAGCAAAAAAAACCCTTATCTGCCGTACAATTGTGGGTTAAATAAAGTTTATCCTCAACAAGTTTCTTCTAAAGAAGAATGAATGATATCCACCTCTAAGTATTGACATCCCAAGTGACTCTTTTATTTCCTAGCCGAAAACACGATCGCTTCGACTTCATAAAACGCGCCAACACAAGATTCGTTGCAGGCTTCAAGTCACTCGTCAATCAGAGGGACCGATCATCTTTTCTGGCACTACAAGTTGATCGAATTCTTCGCTGGTTAGAACTCCCAATTTCAGAGCAGCTTCCTGCACCATTTCAAAAATGTTGCAATCAGAGACGTTTCCTCATAAGGCAACTATTAGCAGTACTAATATGAATTGACAACTTTTTTACTCTTGGGGAAGTAACCAATGATCAGCTTTTTAATTATTTAATGACCACGATGAAGAAAATTTGCATGTATTACCTTTTTCTTTTTAATTAACTAAATCACAATTTTACTTTAATAAGAGAGAGCAATGAATTTGGTCGGATAGAATAATTGAAAAGTAAATGTGAACACTTAGATATAGAAGTAGATACTTACTTGGTACAAACTACGATATAAATGTAAATACTTATTTCGGGACAGAAGGAATATTGTATAGGGTTGGGTTCTGTGAGAATAAAAGTTACGGTGAGAATAGTCATAAGGGATCTCCACCCTTGGATCAATCCTAATTGAAGAGAACCACTAGATCAAACACTAATGGGATATACTAGATCAATATCCTTCTAAAGCACAATTCATGGGTTGTTTTGGGATTAGAAGTGATCAAGAGTCCAAATCCCTTCTTCCACATCTCACCTTAACTCTTATTCTCACACGATCCTTCGTCATATTGTACAAAGTTTTTTGTTGCAAACAAATGATCATCCTTCCTAAGATGCAAACAGTTTTAGATAAAAGAATGTCAAATATGATGGCTCATTTTGCCTTCACATTTCTTCTTGCAAAGTAATATATGTTCTCTTTCCCCATTTTCCGAGGAACGAAGGTTGGTTTGCAACGAAAATCCAAATAAGATGGTTCAAGAGAGCAACTGTAGTGAGCTTAATATTAACTTTTTGTGGTTGTCATAAATTTACCCATGTTTAATAGTGTATATTTGTGTGCACTTGATCCTAATGATTGGAATTGAGGTACAAAAGACTAGAGAGAGGAACAAGACCTTGAGTGTACTTCCCTCCTTGTGGGCAGTCTTGGCAACCGCTGCAGCGTTGTCATAACCAATTTTCTGTAGCAAAGAATTCCAAATGAAAATTCAGTTAATATCCAGAAAATGGTAATATGGCCAAAATGTAGGATTGAAAATTCATCAAACAAAAGCTTACGGGATTCAAAGATGTCACGAGCATAAGTGACTGCAAGGATCCAGGAAGATAATGACATTAGGAATCAGATTGCATTCGAAAACTAAAGCGCCATAAATTCAACTTCCCTTTGAATGTCAGCTTACCTCGTGTAATAACTTTGAAATCCTATCCCTATTCGCTTGAATGCCTCTCACACAGTTCTTTTCGAATGATGCAGATGCATCCGCAAGAAGTCTTATCGACTGTAAACAATATCAACATCACTCTCTTCAGCATGTGGTAAAAGTGCCAGAGAGAAATTTCAAGAAAAAATAGTTCAGATTCAAGCTCCCATAATTCTTTTGGTATATTGAACAGGACAGCACAAAAAAGGGATCACTATTCCATGTTTGGAAGGACTTTTATGTAGAATAGAGTGGAACAAATTCACCCCATGGAACAAGGTGGAACAAACCTACATTTTACCGATATAACTTCAATCTTTACATTTTATTTATTGTATTTATTCTCCTTAAATTTTCACTTTACTGACCTCAAAATATTATTTTTATATGATTTCTATATTTTGATTAATTTATGTAATTTATTTTATATTAATAATTTAATAAATTACTCAAATTAATCAAAATATATAAACATATATAAACAACTCATTACGGGTAAATTGGTCATTTTTTTGTTCTGTCTTATCCAGCTCTGTCTTACCAAATGCAATTTGTCCGGCTCACCACACGATTAATATTGTCCGAGGCCACTTACATGTAAGAGAGAACTAGCAATCATTGGCTTGAAAACGTTGAGTTCGAAATGGCCATTTGAACCACCCACCGTAAGGGCAACATGGTTTCCGATTGCCTGCAAGGTTAATGCGATTTATTAGCCAATCAAAACATGTGTTGATGACAGATCCGAATGCAGATTTGAACCACCCACTATAAGGGGAATCAGGGTTGGGTTGGGTTCGGTGAGAATTGAAGTTATAGTGAAGGGTAAGAACTAAGGGGATCTTCAACCTTGAATCAATCCTAATTGAAGAGAACCACTAGATCAACACTAATGAGATGGACTAGATAAATTCCCTTCTAAAGCGCAATTCATGGATTGTTTTGCGATTAAAAGTGATCAAGGGTCCAAATCCATTCTTATACTTCTCATTATAACTCCTATTCTCACACCATCTTTCGTCTATCAACTCGTCTACCAACCAAACCAAGGGACAAGAGAGATATGCATACCTGAGCACAGACCATAGTTAAGGCCTCACATTGTGTAGGATTCACTTTTCCCTAAAATAGAATAAGATTACAAGTTCAAATCATTAGTCAAATTGCTAGATTTTAGCAATCCAAATGAAAAGCGTATATGAAATGATGACTTTACAGGCATGATGCTGCTACCAGGCTCATTCTCGGGAAGAATAAGTTCACCAAGACCGCAGCGTGGACCACTGAACGGCCAAACAGATTAATTTAGAATGAGCATAAAACAGCTTACAAACCATAGCAAATAATAAAAATATGCAACTTGTGTACCTTCCTAGGAAGCGTATGTCATTAGCGATTTTCATAAGAGAAGTAGCAATCGTGTTTAGGGCTCCACTAGCTTCAACAAAAGCATCATGTGCAGCCTGATAACATAAAGATAATGATGACATTTAATGATTCGAGCATTTAACAAAGTTACTCGAGCTTGACCTTAGTAATTCTCTAGCTAGAGTCGATCTTGAAAACAAAATAAAGCTCGTTTAACTTGACGAGTCAAGCTCTGTAACACCAATTTTCGAAATCTCGATTAAATTTTTTGACTTGAGCCAAGCCATAGAAGCATACACTTTTTCTAGACAAACATGTTCATATGTTTATAAACCATACAATCAAAATTTAAAAAGTTGTCACTAGTGCTAGGATTCGAGGTCAAGCGAACAAATGAGTTAATTGAAATGATTCGACCCATAAACGAGGTCTAAAGTTTGATTTTAGGTCATAATGTGTAACTCAAAGTTGTTAAACAAACATCGAGGAAAATATTATTATCTCAAACCAAGCCCAAACATCGTGTTACTCGACTGGACTCTACTTGTTAACACCCCTAGACATGACAATACAAAAAAATAAATAGGTATTTTGGTTTTCTTCAATAGATTGGTACTATACTGAAGTCAATGAAAAATACGTCCATAAAAAGACTGAAACTAACCAGTGCCTCAAACTTATTTTCAGCAGTTACAAATGGTAGTCTTGTTTCATCAGCTACTGCTGCAGCAATCTTTACATCAAACCTGTACAGGAATTGTATGTCATTATGTAAAAGCAACAAAAAAGTTATCACAAAGATAGAACAGTAAAATAAATCTTCCGAGGACAAAATCAACACAATATAGGCACTTCGACATCAGAAGCAAGACCAACCAAAACAATACTCTAAATGATGTGCATACAGAGAGGCAAATTCTTCTATGCCGCCATTGAAAAATTATAATAATAGAAGAACCATTGAGGGTCACCTTACTCGATGCTCACTATCCAGTTGGTCTTGCCTGCTGATAATAGCCATATATATATAGACACATAGAGACGGGAAGCGAATTGATAAAGGGGTTGGGGTTCATTTGAGAATAGAAGTTATGGTGAGAAGGGTAAGAAGAGATCTCCACCCTTGGATCAATCCTAATCGAAGATCAACAGTAACAAGATGCACCAGACCATTTCCAGTATCAAGCACAATTCATGGGGGTGGGGGTGAGATTAAAGGTGATCAAGGGTCCAGATCCTTTCTTATTTCTCACCTTAACTCCTATTTTCACACAATCCTTTGTCTTGATAAAGAGGTTATGACTGACACGCAGCACACTGTGAATTTCTTAGGATGGATTTCATGAAAGGTAAGTCTAGAAGAGTTGTACCGTAACCTGGTTGGCAGATTGTAAATTAACTCGGACTATAGAATTTAACATTTGCTCAAGTATGTTGCATCTTTACCCGAAGTGATGACATTCAAAGTTACAAATGATTAGGTGATGATATTTTTCTTGTGGCAGATTCAGAAACAACCACCATCTTGGATAAGTATTATTAGAGACAGTAAGTCACATCTTTGCCTTGTGGCAGATAGATGTAATATTTGATATTCTAATCACATGCAAAATTCATGTGCATACAATTAAAAGAATTATTGTGATTAAGAACTAAAAAAGGGAAAAGAAAACTAAGAAGAGCTGCAGGGCATCTTTTCATGTACAGCTATAATCCTACATGTATTTAGGGTAAAAGGTTCTCATACGAAGTACATAAAAGATCAGGAGCGTTACAGCAGATCAGATGACTCAAGATTGGAAACAAAAGCAGGTCAAATTAAACAAATGAATTAGCTTAGATACCCTTTCTTTGTGTTCAATCCTGTCCCTACAGCAGTGCCACCTTGTGCAAGCTGAAAGCATAAAAACCTATATCAAGTCAGGATTCACATGTGCAAAGCTCACATATAGCGTAAAAGACGATTGGAAACCTGATACATGCGAGGGAGAGTGCACATGACCCGCTCAATGCCATACTTCACCTGCAACAACAAAATACTTATTCCTGACCAAGAATATTATTGGTTAGCTAAATTAATCTCCAATGGGCGAGGTGAAAGAAGCATACTTGTGTGGTATAACCACTGAACTCTTGCCCAAGAGTCAAGGGTGTTGCATCTTGAGTGTGAGTACGTCCAATTTTAACTATGTCGGAGAACTCAGTTGTCTGTTAAAAAAAGAAAGCACGCAGTAAACATCAAGCTGGTGCCACAAAACCTGAAGGTATAGAAGAGACATAAAAACTGGTAAACTCCAATTAAAAGGCAGAACACAGTGATCAGAAATAACTGAATTGGAGATCACCAAAATGATTCAGCCACCATCAAAGAAAGCGAGCACGTGCTATATTATCATTTTACTTTATAACTTAAATCTTTTTTATTTATTACATGCTCTATTAGAAGAGAAAAGTGGACCCATGAAAACATCCAGGAGCTGTGTAAAATTGGCAAAGAGTTCGACAGATTAGAGCCCTTTTATCCTTTACTAAAGGAAGTACTAAAAATGTGATGTACCAAATACTGTGAAGCTTCACATGTAGTTTTGGTCACAATAACAGCTAAATAGAAGGTAATATAAGGAATTTACAAAAGAATGGCATTAACAAAGCAAACTCTGCTAATAAGTATTCTGGATTCGAATTTAGGTACTACCCTCCATGCTTCAATAAACCACTAGATACAACATAGCACCGCGTATAGCTCTGTAAAGTAATGTCACTGTATTTTATTGGCTCTTTGTCTACTTTTAAGTATTTATGAAAACCTGCTAGCTTCGTATATATTACAGAAGTCATTCTCGTGGTAATTAAATTAGGATCTACTCATAGCTACAGGTTATAGCTGAAGTGTAGCAAGAAAACCCACTATGGCGATGAGGTTCAGTATACAACTAAATACTTAATCACCTTCGCTTGTAGGGAAGTATGTAACTGCTTCAGTTTTGGAATAAGCCTTGAGTTGATTTCTGTTGCCGCTGCAATATGCATTACCTATGAACAAGACAGGTGATTATCAACACCTGGGAAGACAGCAAGAAATAAAAAAATCTAATATGAATAAGTTGACGGCCAGTATCGTCAAGAAGCTTACAGTTGGGAATGTATCATTCGAGGACTGTGATCTGTTTACATGGTCATTTGGATGCACAAACTTTCCACCACGCTTGTGGCCAAGAATTTCAGCTGCTCTATTTGCAATGACCTATTACAACATGTTCCAGAACAAAGAGTAGCATGATTCATGATCAATCAACAAAAAGGATATGCCAAATATCGTTGAAAGCAAACAATGTAGGACAATCATGCAACCCATAGATCAGAAACTTCAATCAGCTAGTAACCAGTACTGTTTAATCTTTTTGACTGGTTGGGTCTACTCGCCTAAAAAATAAGTCAATCCACAGCACATGGGTCCAGCATGAGGACACCCAGCATTGACCAATTCAGAATCAAAATTCAAACTTAAATAAGAAGCTAAAACTTCCAGGAAAAGCAACATAAGCTAGAAAGCAAAATACATAACAAGAGAAAAGATTACAACCAGATTCCTAACATTACCTCGTTGGCGTTCATATTGCTTTGAGTGCCGCTTCCAGTCTGCCATATGACCAGTGGAAAGTGATCATTTAACTTCCCCTCAGCCACTTCTTGTGCAGCTTGCATAATCGCTTTCCCTATGGAGGGATCAAGACCATATTCCATGTTCACCTATAATGTGCATAACCTCATTTACAAACAAAGCAAATATATAGTAACATGAGTACTTAATAAACACTATAACTATACCATATATTTGGTAAGTATTGAGTAAATTACGCAACATAAGCATGTCTTGTACGGTCTTATAGATTACAAGTTCTTTGTCATTTCAACAAAGAATCTGAAACCATGTGCAATTAGTTATATGATGACATGAAGAGAGATTACATCTGGTGAAAAACCTGATTCAATACTCAGTTAATAAAAGCAATGCTATGCAACTTTTAGCTGATTAATAACAAAATGCTGATGTTCTCAACTCTCATAAATAGAAGAGGAATAAATGTTTTGAAGTTGCAAGAACCTTAGCAGCACACTTTTTGAGGATCCCAAAAGAACGAATGATTGGTTCTGGCATTCTTTCACGGTCACCTCCGATTTCAAAATTCTGCAAAGATCTTTGCGTTTGAGCTCCCCATAACCTGAAAAGAGGGGAAAATATTACTGAAAAGAAACAAACAGGTGATTTTAACAATACCACCGAATGCAATTAGTTTTTGTGCGTAAAGGTATTACAGACAAGGTTGTCAATGCAGTCCAAAGGGTCCTAAAACACCTAGGTGAAAAGGCATAGTTTTCCGGAAAATGACAATTTGGTCAAAATGCACATGTTACAAAATTATAATTTCTGGTATGTTGCATTTCAAATAATCCATTGATAGTATGAAAAGATGTGTACAGCTTGTGTTTGTTTGTAATTACTTCAGAAATCATCGTGTCTACATAGCTAAAAATTCCATTGCTTTTGTGTAACTTGCTTGTTCCAGGCTTGCGTGTAATTTCTTTTCAAAAGCAGGAAGCCGTTTGTACATTTAATAGAGCTAATTAAGTATGCAAGGGATCACTCGAAATCCAATGTGGATTAACCGTCAGCATAGAATGAAATCAAATAGGTAGTATCACAATTTTTCATCTCATCTTGTGCTTCTAGCCTTTCTTATACATCTTCAAGTCCCTCTCTCTTCCCTCATGCCTCTAAGTCTCTCTCCTATGCAACTTGGAGTCCAATAATTTGCAAAGTGACTGAAAAAGTTGCCCACTAAATGACACCTTGTTGTCACCATCTTGATAACCTTGATTAAAATTCATTAAAGATCCTTAAGAAACTTGACATATATATGCAGCAAGTTGATTCTAAAAGAAGCGAAATTGAATTCTGATACCGGTAGAGAGAAGTATAATATGCTAATATCTCCCAAGTTCAAATAGATCATCAAGCTTAGTGTTATGCAGAGAGCTAGCTTTTGACAGTAGAATCTAGTCTTTGAATTTGAAAACAAGTTTCACTTTTTAAAGATAAGTTTCAGTTATTTGACTAGCTTCCTCAGAGATACAGTCGCCATGAGACTAAAATGTGGTTAGATGGAATAGCAGTATGAATATGAAAAGGCATGAACTACATACTGTTCAATGTTATATCAACTCCCAAAAGAGCCCGCTTATCAGCATAACATATGGAGGAGTGACAACAATCAAATTACTGTCTGATTCTAATGGAAAGTAAACGAAGCTTATAACTAGATATTACTATTCGATCATCTTGCTTGACTTTGAGTAAACCCCTACTTTAATGGTTATCAAGTGGGCTGCAACACATGGCATACCTTAGAACTGTATACTCCTGTTCAGGCACCAAGAGCCATCGACTGGTCAGCAAATCACCACTAAACATAGCCATGTATGTCTGCCTAATGTTATTTGCTCAAAAGAAGGTTCATTTGGTTGATTTTTTCATTCGCATTAATTGGTGCTGAATAAGTTATTTTTAACATGGATTTTTAATTACTTAAAAGTTCTAGCATCTGCTTCATTCCACTAAAATCCAAACTCTCATCCATTAAAATTTTACCATTCCAAGACCTACCCTGATGCCAAACTCACAGTTACAAGCCAATACAACCAAGCAACCAATTGCCTCATGTTAGGGTTGTTAATAGGTACCTGTTTTAGGGTAAAGATCCTACTTATAGCAAAAAGAAATATAAGTAAAGAAAACAAGAACACGAACTTATCGGATGGAACTTGAATTGGTCCAAACGTATCTCTTTCCTCTCTAAAAGAGGTAGAAAAATGTCTCCAGCACGTCGTGAACCGAAGCGAATCTGCAACAATGGGCGATCCACCAGATATTCGACGATATGCTTGAACCATCGCCATCTTTTTTGTTTCTCTTACCTGATCGATTGCAAAAACATCGGCATCAAAAGGAGAAAAGAAATAGTAAGACAACGTTAACTAAATTTGAAACAATCATGTGAGATTTGAAAAGATCGAAGAATACCAGAATGAATGCGATCAATTGCAGGAGTGTAGCCCCAGATGGGTGGAGAAAAGAAAGTTTTTTGGGCACGCTTGGTTTGATGCTGACTTTCTTTTAGTGATAGAATGGGCCGCAGCCCAATTGGATTTCTGCACGGCTTTCTACACTGCTGCCATAATCACCGACCAATCGATGACTGCTTATATTTGCTCCAATATTTGTATGAAAAATGGCATGAGCCACCGATTTTGACCGTTACAAATTTATATTGCCTTTTTGCTTTTTTACCTCAATATCTATACTATCAAATAAATTTATTAAAAGTCTTAAAATTTTAAAATTCTAAGTGGCCAAGATACTCTTTATACTATTTTTTATTTTTTTATTTCATACTTTTATAATTAGTTAATTAATTTATTTTACGTCTTTTACTTTTAAATGTTTCATTTTAAACATTTATCAAATTAACATACATAATTGTATATCAATTAAAACATGTTTAAAAATACATTTTTATTTTAACAAGTTACACCATTATAATCGTCTCGTTAATACCTTCGAAACGAATCCAATGTTGAATAGTTTTTGACTTAACTATATTATTATATATTATATATACTGTGAAAAAATATTTTTAATATTTATGATTTATACTTTTATATCTATTTATTTATATATATATATATATATATATATATTATTGTATTTTGGGGTTAGGTTGTCCAAATTGCACTGTATAATATGTTCTTAATTAATATGTTCTTGGGTTTTTTTGAAATATATATACATGTATTAATTCAACCTTAATCTGAGTTTCTGGACAAGAAAGAGGGTAAGCAGTTGAAATTTCATTCTAAAACTCATCTCTTTTGGTTTTTTCATGCCTTATGATCTGTCAAATTTGTAGTTTTCTTTATTGGTTTTGAGTGTTTATCCTAAAACTCAAGTTTCTTGGTTCTTTGCTTTTTTGTGTAAATCGAACACATTTGTGAAGTCGTTTAAATATGTTGGATTTTAAATATATTGGATTTTAAACTGTCATACAATTTTTTTCATCGATAGTCTGTAATTGGAATCATAACTCTTATTTATTCAAATTGTATTAATATGTAAAGACCAAGTGTAACTTATACCATCGTTAAATCTTATCTTATAAAACCAGTGGAACTTCAAAATCGTTAAAATTCATGGCTCCCGCCGTAATGCGCGGGTACACAACTAGTCAAATTACAAACTAAATCTTAGGTTGTTGAGTTTGTAATTTCTCGGCATTAATAATTATTATAAATTTAATTAAAATGTATAAAAAAACTAAATTATTATTTCACATAAATTTTATAGTGAGAATCAAAGTTTTTATATAAGAATTTAAAAGGGTAAATTTTTCCACGATAATAGTTCATACAAGTCACTTAACGTTTTGCTTAAGATTTTTTGAGAACTTCATTTTTGTACTTTTGTTGTCGACTCATCTCCAACTCGTTAAATTAGAAACTCCCTTAAAAGTCCACAATGATAGTTCTTATAATAACCTGTTTTTTTGTGGGTCTCACTGGTTTTTTCAACATCAATAATTATTATATTAATAATTATAAAGTCAATAAAATAAAAAATAAGAAAAACTTCACTTCCCATAAACTTCATGGTAAGAATCAGGCACATAGAGATCATGAGGTTCTTACAATCCACTACACTTTTTATTAATAAAAACTTTGCATTGGAGATGCTCTTAAAAATGCAAAAAATATGTATCGTTAATGAGATAATGATTTTACCTTTAAATGTAAAGATAAAATATTTAATTTTGAAAGTTAAGATTTATTTTGGGACAACTAAGGGGCCGTTTACCGAACATAATTCTGATAAGTGTTTATCGGTAAAATTCAATATTTTCACTTATCCAGTGAGATTTTAGTCAACAAAAACGGCATCGTATGCAATAATTTACGTGATAATAATCGTCACCCTCACTTATCGGGTAAGACTCTCTGTCATTGCGTCGTTCTTACAAGGTAAGATTTTTTATCCTTGTCAAATTCATTTCGTAAGGTAATATGACTTGATAAATATTTATTCGGGTAAACGTATTAACTTAAAATTGTTTTGGAGTGGGTCTAGGCAATGGTTGGGCTAGCACCAAGTATGTGGTTGTTGGATCTATTCTATTTTACTAATAATTATTATGTCTTATTTTATTTTAATATTAAAATAAATTTCATGAATTTATGGTTTCACATTTTCTTTTACGCAGCAAGCGTTTTGACCCGTGTCATTTATCTTACCAGAAAAACATGGCAAACATCAAGAATCTTACCTGGTAAGAGCGACGATAGAGATGAAGAGTCTTACCCGGTAAGTGAATTTGACGTCTCTTAGCTGGTAAACAAGTAAATTGTTGCATACGGTACTATTTTTTGAACTACAATCCTACCCGGTAAAGTAAGCAAGAGTTTTGAATAAGCAGTTACTAGGTAAACGGTCCTTAATATTGGAAAGCCAAGATGTACATGACAATGTTATAAGTTTTAGGACTTTTTTATCCGTAATCTTATCGATAAAATATTCTCAAGCAAATTGTTTTTAGCGTCATTTATTTATGGATTGGTTGAGGAGTCAGAACTTTATGAAATGCGTATGGATATTGAGATTTATTGATTGGCATAAATTTAAAATAAAAATAAAAATAAAAATGGGGGAATATATGAAGACATGGGGGATGTGAAAGTGTAAAGGTGAAGATTAAAAATAAATGAAAAAGAAGATGGCATGCAAGGTGTCTACTTATTAACTTAAGACAAGTTTCAACTCAATTTTTGTTATAACAACCTATTCCAAACTCCAATCTTGTCTATAATTTATGTCACAACCTAAAAAGCTTTATATATATATATATATATATATATATATATAAACATATTAAGTTTTTAAATATGTTCCATTTATTATATCGTATCACGTAAATTCAGAGTATATTCACTACGTGTTCAAAAACTATAAAATACAACTAAACATTGTTCATGATTTGTTCACTTTGTGTGTATATTGATCTGTGTATGTTATGGAGAGAGGAAACAAAAAAATAAGAAAGAAAGGAGGAAAAAATTATGCGTGAAACTACTTTTTTACACTTGAAACTTCACAGCAAAACGTTGTGAAAGTAACATTTACAGTTTTTTGTTGTAGAAGTTTCAAGTATAAAAAAATTGTCTCACGAAAACAGACTAGTCTTACGTAAACCTAACTTTGTATGTATATATATCTTGATAATTGTATGAAGGATTGACATGTCAATTTTTTAATATGAGGTATGAGAAATACATGTGTTGTTGAATAACCAATACATGAAAGATAATGTATTTCAATTGGTTGAAATGACAACTCAAAACACCATTTATTCAATATTTATATTATAGTATATTTATAGTTGGAAAATCGATTTTTATATCTAAATTCATTAATACATTACACTTGAAATCCAGCGTGTCTTTATTATAAATGATTAAAAGCAGTTATTTAAAATAAAAAACAAAATTGAAAACATATGACATTTAAAAAATAAATCATGACACATGTTTGTTGGACTTCAAAAGCATTTATATATAAACTCGTTACACCAAAACAACCAACCAATCCATACATTTTATTATTAAACTTCTTTTAAATATTTAAGGAAAAACTCTTGTTTTTGTTTTCCACAAACATTATGATTTTCAAGTTTATATTTTCATTTTCATTTTCATTTTCATTTTTATAGTTTATAAGTTATTTTTATTTTCGTTTCCTAAACTAAATCAATTTCAAAATTCATATTTTAGTTTTCTCTCTTTTTTATATTTTATTCTTTTTGATTATAATAAAGCTATATATTTTTTGATAATAGATGAAAAATTATATTGTATTGTTATTGTTTATGACAAGACAATTATGTATTTATCATATTTTTTTTTTTTTTTTTTTGTCATTATAGGTTTAGTTTCTTATTAATTCAATTTGTATCATTAAGTCATTCAAATGCAAGTTGTTAAGTATCTCTTACATGATATTATTTTAATTTTTCTTTCTTTATTAGAGACCATAAGAAACTAAAATTACAATGAGCACAAAATAAAAGTATTTATTCATTTCATCATAAATAATAGTAAAATAACATAGTTTTATTAAATAAAAAAAGATTAAAATACCACCAAAAAGACATAGTTTTAAAAAATAATGAATTTCTAAAATATATAGTCTTATGGACGAAAACAAAAATAAATTACAAACCATTAGAAACGAGAATCATAATTTCCAAAACATATGAACTAAAATCATAGTTTACTCTAAAATAAATTTGGTAATAATAAAATATTGAATTAATTGTAAGTTGAAAATATGAAAAGAAATGTTATATTGTAATAATTGGGTGAGGGGTAAAATTGGGAATTTGGTAGAACATGGGGGTGACAGAATAATTGGCAGAGGAAGAAACAAAGGGGAAAGGGACCCAGTGAAGGATGAAATAAAAGGTGGAGAAAGGGCAGTGGGTAGGATCCAGTGAGTGACACCACACAATAAGAGAGATGGATCCCCTTATGATCTGGCAAAAGTGAAGGAGCCAGCCTAGCCATTTGATTCATTGGCGTGATTCGGGTCCCATCCCATGCTCCTCACCCACATGCTATCACTCTCTCTCTGGATCCCATTACAAATTAACGTCACTAATTAATCCAACTAAAACAATATATTTTGTTTTAATGTAATCAAATGAAACAAAATGTTAAATATATATAATTAGAAAGAAACAAGGATTAGCCGAGTGTATACGGTGGTCGCAATCACTCAGGATCCCCTCTCCCATTTTATTTGTGTCGGCAATTACAAACGTTTGAATGAACCCCATTTTTAGCAATTCATTCCTCTATCTCTTCCTCTGTGTATTATATATACATATATAAATTAAAATTGAAATTATTATTCTTTTACATTTATTTAATATTTTTTATTTTTGAATTACAAAAATGATTTGATGTTATTGTGTTAAGTTTTTTTTTTTTTTTGGGTATAAAAAGATTTGATATTTATAAATGTAAATGTTAAATATGTCCTTTTTTTATATATATATTATGGTTATTTGGACAATACAACACAACGTGATGTAAACGAATTTATAAATTAAACAAAAATAAAAAATACAATTATTTATAATTTCTATACTATATTATAAAGCATTTAAATTTTCGTAATTTTTCAATAATACAAATGTTAAATCAAAGATATATTTCACAAACACATTTCTTGTATATAATCATACAAAATGTACATAAAGACGAAGGATCATAGCAGTGTAATAAGAGATTTGTACCAGTGATCATTTTTAATTTGGAAGCAAAAGAGAATTAATTCGGATTCGACTACGAGTGATCCAAATATGGAGTTTATTTATTACTTTTTTCACCATGACTTGGATATAAATAAGTATATGTATTAAATTAGATTATAAAAATAGTAGTAATTTATATAAATAAATAAATAAAAAAAACGAATGAAGGGAAGGAAGAAGAAGAAGGAGCTGTCTTTTATTGTATTAGTGCTGTCGTTTTCTATTACCATACGTTTCTATTTCTTTGTTTTGGTTTAGTCACTTAATGGGCATCAATCTCATCGTCACCATCATCCTACAATCACACTTCCTCCTCTGCCTCTCCTTCCACTTCGGATTCTTCTCTCTTGCCTCCTCCTCCGCCACCACCTCCACCGGCCGCCACCCATGAAGAGGCTAGTAAGTACGTTGTTTCTTTTTAATTTATGTATTTAATCTCAACCTTTCTGATCTGGGTTTTCTTTCCTCGGTTTCAATCCCATTTCCATTTTCAATCGCCTTCTTTTTCGTGATCCCCTTTCTTGATTTCATTTCGTATCTAGCATTTTAGGTTTTTCAGGTAGGTTAATCGAGTGGTTTTCAAGATCAAATTCATAGGAAAGATGGATCTGATCTCTACATTTCTTTTGGTTTTTCCACATTTTCCTTTAATCTGCTCGCATTGATCTCTAAAGCACCAGAATTTTGATTGATTTGTTGGTTTTCAACGAAAGGGTAGATAAATGGATGTTTATTTGGATTTAGGTCATTTTTACTGCGTTAGATGCCGATTAAAGCATTGGATTTCTTTTAGCCCAAAGGGAAAGGGGATTCGAACCCATCATCTCCAATGTATTACAATTAACAAAACCCATTTGATCACATAATGTGTTCTGATCTATCTGTTTTGGTCCATTTTTCTTGCATCCATCGTCAAACCTCCATTCACTTTAGTTTATGGACTCACTTTTTTTTTTTTTTGAGAATTTTGGCTGTTTTTTAGTGTAATTGAAGTCTAATATAAACAAGGTTGAGTGACTAGCATTTTGAACCCTTGCAAACACCTAATGACTCGATCAAACCTCTGTCCGATTCGGTATTTCTGCGAGTATTTTGGTTATTTAGGTACGAAACACTTGATGACAAGATCAAAATGTGTTCTTGTGATGTTATTTCAATCTTTTCAATGGGCTATTGCATGGGATTTCTAGATTTTCTTGATTCATGGGTGGCTCTAGCTACTTTGGATACTTGTTCTTTTTGGTGGAATGGGAATTCTTGAATTTGAGAGATAAAACACCAAATGATTAGATCAAACCCCTGTTGGATTTCAGTATTTCTGAAAGTATGTTGGCTGTTTAGCTACAAAAACAGTTGTTGATAAGATGAAAATGTGTTCTTGTGATATTATTTCAATCTTTTCAATGGGCAATGACATGGGTTTTCAAGATTTCTTGATTCATGGGTGGCTTTAACTACTTTGGATTCCTCTTCTTTTTGGTGGAATGGTAATTCTTGAATTTTCGAGATAAAACCTGCCATAATTGGCTGGTTTTTCTTTTAGAATTCGCGAATGCTTTGCTGAAAGTGGTACTAAAAACACTGTTGCATAGTTGAATCCTTAAAATGGATCTTTCTTTACCTTTTTCTTTTGGTGTCCTTTTTTCAGGTGGTATTGCTTTTTCTTGTAGCAGTAAGTAATGGTATCGAACTCTATAAGGGCGAAGAAGGCGAATGCAATATTGATAGACATTTGATCCCTCGGCCTCATAGTGTTTCCATTTTAGAATTTGGTGCTGTTGCCGATGGGAAAACGGTCAATACCGTTGCCTTTCAAAATGCAATCTTTTATCTCAAATCTTTCACCGATAAGGGTGGTGCTCAATTATATGTACCCTCCGGGAAATGGCTCACCGGAAGTTTCAACCTTACTAGCCATCTCACACTCTTTCTTGAAAAAGATGCCGTCATTCTTGGATCCGAGGTTCATTATTCTTCGCTTTTTGTTGCAAACTGACCATCATTCTAATCAAATTGCAATAAAGTTTGGTTTAGTTTCTATAGTGTAGCAAAGATTTCTTCTTTCTCAAATCAATGTAAAAAATTTCAAAATTTTCTATTCTTTTTTGCCCATTTTGGCTGGAAACCTACTGAAACTATGGAGCCGTTTACGTAAATGCTTACCCGGTAAGCGCTTACCCTTAGGAGTCAACACTGTAATTTATTTTACCGGGTAAGATTGTAGTACATCAAAATGGTATCGTATGCAACAATTTACCTAGTAAGCACTTACTCGGATAAGAGTCGTCACCCTCACTTACCGAGTAAGACTTTTCATCTTTATCATTGCTCTTATTGGGTAAGATTTTTTACCCTTGTCATGTTCATTTGGTAAGGAAAATTACCCAGTAAACACTTACCGGGTAGTAAACGGTCTCTAAGCTACACTAAATAGAAAATAAATTAAGGAAATTTTGAAACTTTGTTTACATTAAATAAGAAATTTCAAAACTTTGTTGCATTGACCGAGAAATAGATTCCTTGTTATATTTAGGGGTGTAAGGAGCCGAGTTGAGCAGCAAGTTATTCGAGTTTGGCTTGAAAAAATAATATCTAGCTCGAGCTCAATTAACTTTTTCAAATTCGGGCTCGAGCCATTGCTCGTTTATGAGCTCGAATTTGAGATCGATTAACTCGTTTATTTACTCAAGCTCTATAATTTGTATATTTTAATTATATAATTTGTAAGCATATAAATATGTTTGGCTCGAAAAAGTATATGCTTGAATGGCTCGGCTCGAATCGTAAAATTTGATCGAGCTTTTGAATAAGTTGAGTCAAACATTGGTGTTATGGAGCTCAACTTGTTAAGTTATGCGAGCTTTATTTTGTGTTCAAGATCGACTTGAGCTCGATAATTATTAAGCTTGAGATAAACGAGCTCGAGTAGCTCGTTAAAAGCTCGACTTGTTTACACCCCTAGTTACAAACATGAACTATAAATCAAGCCTAGTTATATTTTGATGCATTTGTTCTTATGTTTAAGTATTTGGCTCATGATACTTAGGATATCGACCATTGGAAGGTCATTGACCCCTTACCGTCTTATGGTCGAGGTATTGATCTCCCCGGTCAAAGATATCGTAGTTTGATCACCGGAGAAAATCTTAGCGATGTTGTCATTACAGGCACGAACATCCCTCTCTTTCGATATCTTTTTGGAGATCTTTTTTCCTTTTACTAACAAATCTGTGTGAACTTATGCAGGCGATAACGGAACCATCGATGGACAGGGTTTTGTATGGTGGGATAGTTTTGATTCTAATAATTTGACTCACAGTCGCCCTCATATTGTCGAGTTTATCAATTCTAAGGATATCGTTATCTCGAATATAACCTTTTTAAATCCCCCGGCATGGACTATTCATCCCGCATATTGCAGGTATTATGTCATTCTTAAAGCCTATCGAAATTACGAAACTAAATACGACTCAATAAGCTTGTTTTCGTGCTTATGATACAGTAACGTTCTTGTTCAAAATATAACGGCCTTGTCTCCGGCTGAATCACCTTACACAAGCGGCATAGTCCCGGGTATGTTTGAAATCTTTGACCTTATGGCACAAATTTTGTTTTTTGTATGATGATGGTATTTGTCGGAGATGATATATGGAACCCTTTTAGATTACTAGGTTTCAACATATATCGAGGATAAATGGTAGCCCCATTGTGGGATTATAACGGTATTTAATGTAAATATTCAGATTCTTGTGATAGCGTTTGCATCGAGAATAGCAACATTACTTCGGGTCATGATGCAATATCGCTAAAGAGTGGTTGGGACGAGTATGGAATCACGTATGGAAGGCCAACTACGAATGTGCACATTAAAGGGGTTTGTCTTCAGTCTTTTACAGGCTCGGGTTTGGCTCTGGGGAGCGAGATGTCGGGTGGCATCTCGGAAGTACTTGTGGAAAACGTAAAATTACGTGATTCAATCACCGGAATTGCGTTTCTGACATCAAAAGGCCGAGGCGGGTATATCAAAGACGTTGTGGTGACAGATATCGACTTCCTAAACATTATTCTGGCGATTAAATTAACAGGTGACTGTACTTCACACCCTGATGATAAATACGATCCTGAAGCATTGCCGATCGTGAATGGCATCACTTTTAACAACATGGTCGGGATGAATATCACAACCGCCGGAAACTTTTCTGGAATTCTTGAATCTCCTTTTACCGGAATCTGCCTTTCGAATATCTCCTTTACCCTGAACCCTGAACCTTCGTCTTCCTCCCAGCCGTGGGTGTGCTCTAACGTATCGGGTTTTTCCGAAAACGTGTCCCCCATACCGTGTTTTGAACTTTCGAATTCTTCTGCAGTTTGCTCTACCCTATCATCGTCACATAAACTTGTTGCTGTTCTATGATATAATAATGAACATTCAAACCCATATCATTTGTTGGTAGAACAACGAGGATCGTGGTCTACTCAAGATTCGTATTTTGAAGTCGGATGAGAGAAAGTTTGTTCGATTTATAGAAGCTCGGGGGCATCGAAGAAGTAGCGAATGAAAATGAATTCTTTGGGAGCAAAAAGCAAAGGAAGGTCTGGTTTGTGTACAGCCTTGTTTCGTTGATTTCTTTCTTTCTATGTGTAAGAAAAGTTTTGTAGGGGGCTGGCTTTCTTATACGTTTCTTGATTCATCATGTTATTCTTGCTTTGTTATTTTTTCTTATTTTTATTTTTATTTCAATTTCTCGACTGTAAATTTTCATTATTGGGGTTTCGAATCGAAGATTGTTAAAAAAAAAAAAAAAAAAGTGCTAGTTTTTTGTTGTTTGTGTACTTCCAGCTTAACGAGCTTAATGGTCTTTGGCAATTTATTTGCTGAAAGCCTAATTGTTATATATATATATGATTATTTGGTGGTGGTTTAATGATATAAAAAGAGGCTTATTCATTAAGCTTATAAAGAAGGAGCTTTATGTAAAAAGTCAAAAATAAATTCAAACAAATTAATAACATAAATACCCTTAAAACAAAGCCTCCCTTCTTAAAAAAGGAGAGAAATTTATGAGCAGACAAACAAACAAACAAACAGCATTATGGGTTATGGGATGGATGGTAGGAAGTAGGGAAAATATGTAAAAGGAATTGACACCTGCAGATGCCTCCAAATAAATGTAACTATGGACCACTTATTCTCAGATTTACTTGAATTAGGTTTATAACAACAAAATTGCATATAAATGGCAAATCATAACACTTGTGGTTTTTGGAGCTAGAATCAATTATTTCCACAACTGGGAGTAGGTGTCACATGGACGTTTGTTCTTTTGTCGTCTAGCTGTAAGAAAAGTGCACCAAAAACATATTCCTTCTTTGGGTTTTCCATCATCATCCACCCCATGCCGTCACTCACACTTACCTTTCAAACGTAACATACCACTTCTATCCATTCACTCACCATACATTTTACAACAAAACTACCCATTTGGGACTAGCATCAAAATTAGGGTGTCTCCCATGCGCTTTGAGGCAAAACAGCCAGTAAACCACAACACATACACCTCTAACCGTAAAAACCGCACTACAAAATACGGTACGGAGTATGGTTTGGTAACAATGCAAACCGCAAACAGCATCGCAAAAGTTCTAAAGTTTTTTGGTGCGGTATGGGGGGTTTAAATGCATACCACCAATCAAAATAGCCAAGATTTCATAAACGCACATTTTGTCTTTATCTGAATTAAAGACGATTCTGGTGGGGTTGGCTTGCGAAATGACCCACCAAAATCATATTTTATTCATAAAAAATACATTTCACAAGTTGTGAAAGACACCTATAAAATATAGACTATTTCTATTTTGATTCAAACATGAAAAAGTTGGCTAAAAAGTTAAGATGTTCATCTAAAATGACTAACTTGATCCATTTCCCGTTTTAATGTTATACAATGATCCTGTTTTTTCGACCATCTAGTAAAAAGTAAAAAAATACCATGTGTGTTTGGCAGAGAAATCTTATTCCAAACGATACAAATTTATGGGAATTAAAATGTAATGTAGCAGATAAACAAGAACAAACAGTAATCAAAATATATGGAATCCAAGCCAAAATTTGATGGATAAAGATGAGAGCACAAGTTAAAAGGAAGGAAGAGTTATCTTGATTGGGGTGTGAGTTGAACCCAAGCGAATTCTTCTTCGTATGCCAAACTTCCATTGCACGAAGCTTCACATGTATACACGACAATGGTGGCCCAATCTAGCGAATTTGCATCATTTTTGACATCAAAGAAGTAAAGCAACTGTGGCAAAATCTGAACAAGTGACGGGTTTATGTGAAATTGCGAGACTGAAAAGAATTCTAAATGTGCAGACAAAAGAAGACGAAATGAAGTACCATACCTGAAATTCAAAAGATCGATCGCTGCAACAGGAACTGCATTTAGGTATATCGACTTTTGATGGTTGACCAGTTAACATGGGCCACAATGGTTTAGAAGTTTCATGCCTAGAATACCTGCAACATTTACAAAGAAAAGATTAATCCACACGAGATATCTTGAATGTGATATAGCTTATACTCTTATTATTCTAGATAACCTCATTTTCATGGAGGACTAGAAACCATGAGAGTGTGCCACATGTCGATATACATATGAACATGAAATTTTTACAACATTCATGATGAATGTGCCGTTCATGTTCATCATGCATATGAACAGGTGGCGTGCTCTAGGTGGTTCCCCGGTTCTAAATAAAAACGAGGTTCCTGACAGAACCTACCCCTATTATTATATATCTATTCTAAACAAAAAGTATACTTTTGATTTTAGAAATCTAGACCTTGTACTTCTCTAAATCTGACATGAACGTTGCGGTATTTTCATAACACATTGGTAGAGTTCAATCTAATAATCATCTTTAATCCACAAAAACAATTTCGAGTATAATTTTAAACTTAGAAACACAATCAATTGAAACACAAAAATCTCAAAGGTGGATTCTTTGGTCGGAAGGAGTACTACAAACATGAATTCTGAGGTTTGGTTTATATCTTTGGCTTCTTTTACGGCAATGACCATCACCCATTTTATGCTATATTCTCCCTCCAACCCAAAATAAGTGTCCATATTTATATTTTAGATTTCCCAAAGCAAGTGTCTACTTTCAAAAGTCCCTACATTCCAATTCTACCCTAATTACGAGATATAGAACTTCATTACTACATCTATTTATAAGGGTACAATGGTGACTCGCCCCCCGATTGTAGGAAGCCCACTCTACAGTCTGACATGCTTTCCGTTTGTCATTTAGTTAATTAAAAAATGTAACAAGTACACATTCCGAAAACTTAATTCCTTTTTCTTTGACGACATTTATATTGGGGCGGAGGGACTACTTTTTAGGTGCACTCAATATGTGAAACATGAATTTCACCATTTGTTTCATATTTTCAATGTAAACCAAAGAAGTTCAGCAATCACCTTAACACTTGATCTGGTGCACGGGATATCCTTTTCTGGAAAGAAGCCCAACTCTTTGCATCTCCTTCATCCTTTAACCAACAAGTGAAAAGTTTATAAGGATAAAATCATATGCACACAACAGATCATTCAATGAAGCAGTTTATACCTCATTATTAGTATGTAATGCCTTCCCAAATGCATCGCTGTTAGACATTTCTATGTCAAACTCAGATTCATCCTCATTTATAATCTCATATTCTGGCCAGGTAACATTGCTTGCAGCTGTTTGGAATAAATTACATAATCCAACCCATTATTGAACCAAATTGCCTGTTTTACTTGCAATATCATAAAGTAGGAAATTAAGATTTTGAAAAAACGAAACTGCTGCATCTTTCATCCAAAAAAGAAAAGTGTTGTTAATTTTCATGGGATGGAAGTAATATTTATAGAAACAATTATAAGTGCTTCAAAGTAATGCAAATGCCACATAGTCCTAACCAGTCAGAAAAGGGTCAAGATCGCAAATATGCAATATGTACCCCTAAAAGGAAAGAACACTAGCCTTTTGGTATATCCTCCGAACAGTTGGTGGATCCAGAATTGGATGCCTGAAGCGGAAGATCTGATGTTCTGCATCGGCTTTTATGAGCTGAACTCCAGTGAATGGTCTGCATAAAGTAAAAAAGGGAGAGGCATGAACAAAAAGAGAAAAGGGAAAATAACAAACGATAAACTAGTATTGCAATAACAACCTGGTGCATCTTGGAACAGTAACGTGCTCTTTTACAGTTACTACAAACTTTATCTCCTTTCCAGGTACCACACCAACCACAGAGTGGAGCTACAAAAACATGCATCAACATAAAGTGATCAATAGTGAGCTTCAGAAAATAACAATGCCACATGAGCTTCAGAAAATAACAAATCCATATTCCGCTAACTAAGCCGGCTAAACATCTCAAAGATGTGCTTTTGCATAGCTACCAAAGTCAACAAATGGTTGGCACGACAGACACCCAACCCACACTAAACAGTAACATGATAATTATATAAATTGGTTATAAGCTATCTCAAAGTACTCAAGAAGCCATCTCTGAAGGTCATGACAAGCGGTAGTTCGGCGTACACCTATTGGCTGACAGGAGAAAACTATCAGCCATTTCGAGTGTTTTTATTGTATAGACGAGAATATAATAATCAGATAAGCAACATGAAAATGAACAAGGTAATGAAACAAAAAAATTCCTACCTGCTCTCCCTAAAGGCTTGTCAGTGCCATTGTTTTCAGGAGGTTCAGTGGAGTAAAACTCATTGTTGCGGGCAAGTTGGCAACGGAAGACCTTAATACTTGTCAAAAAATAAAATGGTATGAAAAAAATGGACAAGCAATCTGACATATCAAGACATGGGAAAGTAACATACCAAAAAGGGAAGAGAGAGAGAGTACGGATCTAAGAATACCTCCGAGATCCTTTTTCTGGACGGTGTTTCCACTGCTCATGCTGGTCTTGGAGAAGACATGACATTGATGGGCACATGAATACAAATAAGGTCCTGTGAAATGTTGAATCCTTAGCTGATAGAGGTGCATAAGCCTGCAAAATAAATGGTTAGAAAGACTATCTTGATGGAAGTTTTCATTAACTTGACATATTTGTCATGTGATTCAAACACCTAATGTTTATATGTCTCCAACCACCGGTTAGTAGCACTCCAGGCAGTTTAGAGCTACCTACTAGCCTACTACAGCTATATTTGCATAGTGCCTTTTGACAAATCACCCTTTCAAAATGGCTCTGATCTTGGGAAAACTAAAAAAATTTGTGCCTAAAGTCTTGGAGTCTTTACTCTCGTTCCTATAAATTAGGTATTTCTCACTAATCACCATCAAGAGTATGCATGTGGATTTCCTGTTTGTTTTCTAAATCAGAAGAAATCCACGTAATATTTCGATTACCAGGGTCTAGCTAAATGAACCCTAATTCTTTAATCAGCTTTCCTCAAGGTTCGAATGTTACAACCCTTATACTCATCAACTTCCATGCAAGCATTAGTCTTTCTCTGATCATATTACCTTTGGCATTATTAGCAACATTCAGCTAGGTTAGTTTCATCAAGATGCTGCTTTTTTGCATTTTCTCAGGATGTTCTGGTTTTCCCCATATTAATGAAATTTTCAATTGTTTCAAAAAGAAAAAAATAAAAACATTTCTCTTCCTCCATCGTACATACACAAAATCCCTGTGTTCTTCATGCGCAAGCAATCTTAAGCATATTTTAGTTTATATCCTATTTGGCTAATTGCACCAGGTTTTTCCAGTTTTCTATTTTCTTTTCATCTTCACTCGATTCTTTTTGATTGCTTGATGGTTTATAATAAGCAGCAACTAGTGTGCCGTTATCCAAGTACTAGACAGGACCTTCCCACGCCATACAAACACATTCTCAGTACAGTAAGAAATACATTAAAGTTAATAGTTTTTGAAGCTTCCTTCGTATCACGAGTTGGTAAAATTTAGAAATACCTGAAGCAAGAATCGAAGAGGTTCACCACAGATGTCACACAGACATGATTTACCAGACGGCAAATTGATTGGATCTAACCAAGCCTGAATCACAAACAATAAGAGATTCAAATACTTTTCAGAAACAACAAATCAACTATAGTAAAAAATTGGAAGCAAAATGTGAGCATACAGGAGTTCCTCCAGCTTTGCTTGGAAATAGATGACGAAGAAGCGACCATTCATGCTTCGGCTTTTCAACAAAACCTAACACTACAGGCGCTTGTTCTTCATCTTCATCTTCCTCTTCCTCATCGTCATCATCATCGTTATCAAATGCAAATTCCTCATCTTCGTCACCATCAAGTGAAGAAATTCGCATAGTGGTGAACTTATCTAAGGAATCATCATTCAAAATCCTGCTTAATTCTCTGGACATATTGGGATTTCGAAAAGTTTCAATCGCTGGTTAGGGGGAAGAAAAAGGGTTTAGGGTTTTGCTTGCAACTGATACATAAAAAAAATAAAAGAGTAAATTACAAAATCCGTTCATGGTTTTCACCTAGCTTTAATGTTTGGCCCTCTCACAATTTATTTTACAATTTTGACCCAACTTTAAGAACTTTTTAACAAATCAGTCCTTGATGCTAACTTGGCAATTAGTATCTTAGCATTAAGGGGTTGTTTGTTTACCTCTTAATAGTTCCATTAAAAGACAATCTCTGAATCGTTAAGAGATAATCTTGTTTGGCAAAAAAAAAAAATCATGTCTCTTAATGGTTCTAAAATCCTCTAAATGATTTTGTATCATGGATCTCCCTTAACCATTAAAAAGCCTAATTTCATTGTACATAATTACCAAATAATTATATTTTATTTTGCACTATATCATGAGAGTCTCTTAATCATTCTGCACCAAACAATTCAACAATTACCAAACAACCCCTAAGTTAACCATGTAGTTGCCATGTGAGATTTTCACAAGGGATATTTAGTAAATTTAAACACTAGTAAACAAAACAAGTCCATGAAGAAATCAAATGCTTTAGAACAACATTTAGAAATAGCATTATTTTCGTCATATTGAATTCGATATTTTGTGTCACCGAGTTAAAAGTGTCAAGTTCATGAGTAAACATTCAATAAGGCATTTATTGAACATTTGAACCGGTTGAAATACTTGTTGGGCATAGAAATGGACCGGTTTACCGGGCCGTGACAAGGCTAGGTGGCACAAGACCACTTGGGAACTAGTGGCATGGCGCGATAGAAGGGATAAATAAGTTTCTAAGGCTCATTTGGCGTTGGAGATCCTTTTGGCACTTGAGCAAACACATTTGATGGTCTCCCCTCTCCATTTGTTTGGTTGGATTTTCATCAATAATTGTATAGATAAAGCTAACTATAAAGATTAATATGTCTGAATGGATTGAGAGAGTTTTTGTTGGGGAGAGTATCTTCTTAGATGAAATGAACATGTTTGTTAATTGGGCAGAGACATGTTTGGAAAAATTTGGCTTTCTGCATAAAGCCCCTCCCCCAGAAACTTACCGAATAAGTTACTTTATATATCATTAAGCCACTACCAAACAGTCATGTATACCTGCTAACATTAAGTTGTTAACAAACAAGCCCTTACTTACATTTGTTGGTTATATTTGTTCCGGTAAGCATTTCATGCCAGTTGTTGAATCTAATACATCATCTCGGGTTTCCTTAGGTGGACGTACATGATTGTAAGACCACGAAATGTCATAATGTTTGTGTCATTCGATTGTTACTTTATTTGCTTAGTACATTGTTTATGATCTGATTTATTTCAGCATTTCAATTGTTTTTGGGACATTTATGTGTCACACTTTGAACATATACAAAATAGATGTTGTTTTAGGATACAAATACAGCATAGTAACTTTTAAGAAAACAATTGGTCAATAGCAAACAAATACAAGCAACTGGTATTGTTGCCACATTTACAACAACTATTTCACAGTTCAAAAAAAAAAGAACATATGTAATTGTAACCCCTCTCTCTCATCAATCTCACTCTCTATGTGGAAAAAAATTAAAAATTAAACAAAAATCAACCAACTTTAACTACTACTTTCTGTTACCACTTTTCTTTTTCATGTCAACACCGGTTACCGGCCTCCCGCCTCGGTTTGGCTGGCTACCAACAGTGGTTGCTTTCCGTGAAGCCGAACCTCCAATTCTCGGGATCATTGACCTGCTGCTGCAATTGTTCAAACCAAATCATGTCATTTAGAGCCCAACCTCCCAAGAGGCAACCAAAGTATTTGCCGTACATAAGGGTGCGTCTGGTACACTAGATAAATAAGACATCATGTTACTGTTTCACATTTGGCAGGGCTTTTATGTGGAATAGAGTGGAACAGACATGTTCCACCCCCATCCCATGAATGATGAAACAAGGTGGAGAAGATTTATGCTTTATCAATATAACCTTAAAATAAAACATGCTTCACCTCTAAAACATCAAACGAACTTTCCTTTTATATTTTATTCATTCTTTAAATTTTATTTATTGTATGTTCTGCTTTTCTAAACTCACTTTACTGCCTCAAAATATTATTTCTATATGGTTTCTATATTTTGGTTATTTTGTGTAATTTATTAAATATTAATAATAAAAAAATAATATAAGAAAAGGTATAAAATAAAAACCGGAAACTACGTAATTTTTTTTATTTTGGTGTCCTTTTAATCAATTTGACTAAAACTTTTTGATAATATATTTTGTTATAAAAAAATATTTATTTTATTGTAACTTAATTAATTACATAATTAATCAATAAATATAAACAACTCATTAGGGGTAAATCAATTATTTTATCTATTTTTTATCCTTGCAAGTTCTATTATTTTCTTACCAAATATTGAACAGATATTATGTCCTGTTCTATCTTGCCTGGATACCAAACTCACCCTAAAAGATCCAAATAGTGGTTTGAGTGTTTGATTCCAGGCGTACACTAACACAACAACTGTGGCCACCGAGTTTTTCAGGGTTAATTTCTTGTTGTCACAATTTGCCGGGGATTAGTGTTGGGATAGCATGGGACACCCTACCATAAAAAAAGAACCCAAAATAGCGACTAAAACTATATGCACAAGAACAAGGGTGATAGGAATACCTCATATCTGGGTTTTTTGTTGGCTTTGCATTTGAGTTATTATTGAATCTTGACATGGTCCCATTGGTGAGGGTTGGATGTTTGGAACTATTGAACTGCCAAAGTAGATCAGGCTCGGATGAGTCGCTGGTGGCAGCGTCAAGTTCATCGGCACCATCAGTAGTGGCAACGTCGAAACCATTTCCTCCTTGGAATAAGTTGTTATAAGATTGTTCCGAGTATAATTTTTGGTAAAATGCGTCGGACATTCCAGCAGCATTTTCTGCTTCCCAGCATCGTGCTGCTGCATCTTGTTTGTTTACCATCACCTTATCGATCCAGTCACCGGATCCTATGTCTCTATCATCCTCGAGATACGTCTCCCCAGGACTGCTTATTGGAGGCCACGGAGGTGAATTTGCTAATAGCTCATCCAAATCAAAACTTTGTGTCTTCTGTCTCAACTTAGAATTTTTGGCCACCTAAAAAGATTAAAAATGGGACACTTTCAGAAAGCAAAGATTTAGCTAAATGACCTCTTGACAAATGTTTTTTAAATCCATGACTATCCATCCAGGTTTTTAGGCATTTTTGTTAAGCAATGACATCCTCAAAACTGTCAGAAGGTCAGAACCTGTTAGAAGCACATTTAACAAAAGGATTATTATGGGCCTGTTATTAGCAGCTTAATTGGGACTCGCAACTTATTCGGTCAACTATACATGACTGTTTGATAGTGGCTAATATAGAAAGTGGCTTATTCAATAAGCTTCTAGGAGGGAGCTTTATGCAGAAAGCCAAGATTTTTTTTTCCAAACTTGCCCCTTCCGATTAAAAAACACGCTCCTTCCCTACATGAAAAAACCCTCCCAAAGAAAACCTTCTCAGTCTATACAGACAGATTAATCCACATAGACAGTATCCATACAAGACTTAATGGAAAACTAACCAAACAGCCCCTGCATACGATTGGGGTGCCTACAATTGTGGTTCATCCAGTTAATAGAATAGAACATACAGATTACCTCAAAGTTGGCTACATCTGCTCTTGGTTTCCTTCGACTCTTTGGTTCAGGGTACGATTCTCCACGCTGCAAGTTAGGAGGGGAACGGGATGATAGCTTGCCAGCTGGACTTCCAGATACTTTGTGTTCCTGATCTCCTTCTTTCTTTGCAAGAGCCGCCTTAAGATTGGCAATCTGAGACAAGAAATGTAGTATTCCATTTAAACGAACTTAAAAACAAAACAAAGATTGTCCCATATGATTAAGGTTATGGCAGAGAACCTGTTCTTTGAGATCTTTCACATCTGAACTATCTTTATGTACTTGGGCAGCACCAAGTTCAACAGTGGCGACCCGCTCAGCAAACTTAAGTGTGCTAAGTGTTTCTCCAACAGCATTCAGTTCTGGGCTTATATGAACAAACATCAGTGTCTTTGCCTGCCCTCCTGATGCATCATAAGATATATTTTTAAATTTTGGAAGCAAAAGGGAATATATATATATATATATATATATATATATATATGTGTGTGTGTGTGTGTGTGTGTGTACACAGAGAGAGAGAGAGAGGGAGGGAGGTTCAAGGGAAAATTCCCAAAAAAATGAAAAACTGAGAAACACCCCGGTAACCATTCATTTGGACGGTATGCACATGTGCATACAAGTAACTGAAGTTGTTTCTTGGTTTTTATGCATGTGCATACCGGACAAATTGCTTGTATGCACATGTGCATACCGGACAAATTGCTTGTATGCACATGTGCAGACCATCCAAATGAATAGTTACATCCTCATTTTTTCATTTTTTTTTTTGCGGTTTTCCCTGAACCTAACCCTATATATATGCATGAAGGGTGAACATTTGTCAAGATTGTGTTGTTTTACCAAGTGAATCTTGAAGTAATTGTGTTAGTTTGCTGTTTCTGTAAGGCACGTGTGAATTCTTTTGGGCAAGGGAAGAAATCACATCGCCTAATGCGGAAAGAGATTTATTGATATGTTGTGCCTCTTTTAATCTGTCTCCCGCCACTTCAGATTTGTCGACCCTTTCGCTTCCTGCAAGGTCAACTAAATGCATACAACCATGGAGAACAGCTCCAGATGTTAAGTCTCTCCCTTGGACATGTACAGTCAAGCAACTGCGATTAATGGAATTTATAAACATCAGATTGACAGAATAGAGGGAGGTTCGGGGGAAAACCACAAAAAAAATGAAAAATTGAGGAACACCATGATAACCATTCATCTGGACGGTATGCACATGTGCATACAAGTAATTGAAACTGTTTTTTGGTTTTTATGCATGTGTACATGTTATGCACATGCGCATACCAGACAATTGCTTAGAAGTTAAGTCTAGATGAATGGTACTAGGGTGTTCCTTTGCGGGTTTCCTTTGAACTTGACCCTAACATAATATATTGCTCAAATGACATCCTAATATCAAATTCAAACCTGTGAGAGCGACTACTACGGTCATTGAGAGCAGTTGCACCAACAGCACGGTTTCTATGCCCTAGGTTCATCAGATCAATAACATCATACATTGATGCCACATGGACCAGGCTAGCATCCGGGACATTGAATCCATTCTGTGAATTATTACGGATTTCTAATGTAATATCAGATTAAGGAACCTGACAAGGAGACTAGTACTACTGCTATCAAGTTGTGCAGCATCTAACGCAGATTTAGAAGTTATAGTTGCAAAGTGTACTGTAAGGCAAAAAGAAAAGGATATCTTTTGTTTAAACCCTCGGTAACAAGCAGATCCCGAACTTGCTCGTTATAAATCTCAATCATTTGAACAGAGACATCATATTGAAGGGTATCCTTCCTCTGTTCCGCGAGAAAAAACAAATCGCTCAAAGCCCTATAATTAACTCCTTGGCTGTTCTCTGTAAGATCTTTTGGTCCAGTCTGGACAAATAACAAGCAAATGGATTACAAGTTAAATATTGGATGATACACATCCTGCTTAATTTAGAGAAATGTCAAAACATCTTACCATTGTATGTGTTTTTCCGGATCCAGTTTGACCATATGCAAAGATACAGACATTGTAACCATCCAGAACAGATCGAACGAGGGGCCGAGTATCTGCAAAGACCTCCGCTGCAGAATATATATATAGGCACACATATTGCAAAAAATAAGACATAATTACTTATAATGTGAAATTTTAGAGATAAAGAGCAGATCTAATCTACCAACCTTGGGTTGCTGAGGGCCCAAATACTTTGTTGAAGTTAAATGATCGACATCCTTTTCCATACTTTGCTGGGGTATTAATGGTAATCATTCCTTCTTCAATGTTATCCACAACACTCTGAGAGTCCAATCGTCCTCCTAAGGAGGGTCTTACCCGACAATAAACTCTAATATTTCCTATTCAAAGAAAGTAAATCAAGTCTCTCAAAGGCTATCTCAATGAACTTGAAAACTGGTCATTGAACTTATGGGAAACTGCCAATTTCACCTTTAAGATCCTGAACCTGATTGTATAGCTTTCGGTTTTCCTCAAGAACTCTGTGATATCCGGAAGCAGCACTAGCTAGACCATGAATGTGCAGACCTAAACAACATCCACAACAAAAAGGTTTTAGAACTGAAGATAAAAATGCATCCTTCCGTCTCCATTGCCAAAGTCTTTTCAGAATGGAAAATGAAAAGGTGATTGTTGACAAGTGTACCGAAATTCTGAATCTCCTCATGGAATTTCATTTGCATGAACTGCATCCCAGCTTTCGTGGTTGAGAGTATTTGTTTCAGCTCCTGTAAAACAGTGGATCAACATAAATGCCAAGATTTAGAGAAGTTACTTAAGGGTGAAACAGATCATACCTTGATATTCCTTTCCTGTCCATCAAAAGCCATTTGATATTTCAGCCGTCTTCTTTTCCTTTCTTCATCAGAGATGGAGTTCTTGCAAAAGTTCTGCTCTTTCTCTACAATGGCGACTTTTTTGTCTTCCAGCTTGGGTTTTATAGGAAAATGTGATCAAAAAAATGTCAAAACTTCATATTTACACCATATATGAGAATATCTTATAGATGTTTAGATGGCTAATTACAGCCTCCATTTCTTTCGGAAAGAACAAGAATAAAAAAACCACCTGTGTATCATTAGAAGTGTGCTTCAAAAGAGTCCTGTTTTCAGTAGGGGTATCTTTAGCAGCTGCATTTTTCTGTTGATCAAGAAGGCATGAAATGCCAAGCAAGTATGATCACAAGGCAACTTGGTAGGTAATATTGTACTTTAAACACTTAGCAGGGAAATAGCACAGCTAACAAGCTTACCAATTCGAATTGGCTGGCAATGCGATGCTCAAACTCTTCCATGACCTTACTTAGCACTGATTCTATAAGCTGTACAAACAGAATAGCATGATAGCAAAAATGAGAAATCAACTAGGGAATTTTTCTGTTGAGCCAGAGAAGAAAGAGAACTACAGTGATGTGACACATTTGTGGGTATCTAGGGGATGTGGCAAAACCTGGAAACTAAAAAGTGACAAATCTATATAAACAAAATTAGAGATGTTTGTTGACACATGACTAAGTGAAAGTACCAAGTTCTGAAAATATGTACTTCCATAAATTCCTGTCTCCGATACTTAGAAGTCACCAAAACGTTAATCTTAGGCCCGTTGCATGGAAAACATTAGCTCATTATTACATGTAAAGCCATAAGAGCATCATGGTACATAAATTGATCAGTTAGTTTGTTGCCTCCTTAAGCATAACTTGAATACGAAGAGGGAGAAAGACAAGAAAAATTAAGTCCTACAGTAAGAGAGGAAATCTCTCTAAAAATCAGCCAATGTGGAAAAATAAACTTGAAAAGCACCAGATTAAACTTACCATGGGAACCTCGTCAGGTTTCTTATCTGATAGAACTGCACGGACAAGCATATTTAAGGATGAATTAGGCTGCATAGAAAAACACAGCAAGTATCAAACACGTCCATTTGACTGTGATAAGAAGAAAAGCACAAATAATCACAAGGGGAGGGGAGAGAATGAGGATAGGCTACCTACCATTTTGCTATTCTCAGTTTCAACTAACTGAGTACTCATGGAGGTTTCATTCATTGACATATTCCTTGACAAGGAATTTTTGAATGGTTCCGAGTTTTTGCGTATGAAATTCTTGCCAAAAGTGATGGGTTTCAAATTTCCACCGAATTTCCAAGCCCCATTACCACCTGTTTGTTTCCACTCATTATAGGATTTGAGTGCTAAAATACAATTGACTATTCTAGATGATTTGCCTCCCTGAAATTTTAAACAAGAGAAAATGGCATTATTGACACTATCATGAGCATACATTGGTAGCATAATGTGATTCCGATAAATATATGACAAAAACTCTATGAAGTAACAGGGTGGCAGATTTTTTGAATCAACAAAGGGTAAGAGGGAGATCGGGAAATTATTGCACTTTTTTTAGGCTATGCCTGAACTAAACTGGCAAATTGTGACCGCACGAAATCAGCCCTGATAAACTCAGTGGCCACAATTGTTCTGTACGCCTGGAATCGGAACCCTGGGCAGATGGAATATTCCCCCAGGACCTCAACCACTGCGACATAACCCTTGTGGTTGGAAATTATTACACTTGATGCCGATGGCATAAAACCAGAAATTCATTGCACAATTTTAAAATCTGATATCAGTTCCTGGAAGAACACCTACTTGCTCCAAGTCAGATGCCTCAAATGTAGGGAGTCCCATTTGTTCCACAGCCACAAGAAAATTTCTCACGTTTTCGAAACACTGATATATAGATAAAGCTGCTCCATCAGGCACAGCAGCTGAATCACATGGACTCTCAACCACCTGAAAATGATCAAGCTCTCGATCAACTTGAAAATTTATACAAATATATCAAATTATCAGACGATGGTTATAAAGATACAAATGGAGGACAGCAAAAGAAATACCTTAGGCACAGCCCCTTGATCAACCTTATTAATCACATAGCAGAGAATGAGTCCACTTCTCAAAGCAAGCCTAAATTCTTCCTCAGAAGGCTGAGCAGGCAAATCTCTTGCCCCAACAACTCCAATCATTTTTCTCAGCCAAGCAGTGGCTTCATACCTTCTTGTTGCTATAATTCAAAGATGATGCCATTTATTAGTAGCCTATTTTTCAAAATAAAATGTAGTACAAGGACTGTACCACCATATGAGATCAGATTCTAATATAATCTAGTAGCAATTAGATTGATATATAATCCAGTGACATGGATCCTAAGCAAGAATTTACTTCAGCACCTAAATTAGGTACTCGAATTCAAACAAATAAAGCAATCTGTTACATTGTTTTGCCTAAATTTTCTTGCATACAAGCATAATATGATTTCATAAACGGATTAATTATGGTCAATTTAGAAAAGTTTAAAGTAAAGAACCATAATTCAAAACAATCAAGGAGTAACTGCAGAAAGAAAAAATAAAAAATAAACATACCAGCTTCCTCAGCTCTACGAGAATCCAAATCTAGATCTCGAGGTCGATTATCATGCTGGTGAAGAACATCTTCCATGACAGATGCCACCGAGAAGGATAATGCACCCTCGGCTGCCATCATCAAACGACTTGAATTATCCAAAATTCAGTCTAGAAACATCAAGTAAGACCAAAATTGAAGCAAAATAGTTGTTGAATTAAGAGTAGGGTTTAGTTTAGCAGCAAAGATCGGAATGAAGAAGGCAAAAACAGGCACATCATGTGTACATAAATTATATATAAATGATTACAGAGAGAAAGGTGGAGATAAAGAGGAGAGAAGATGGTGGGGTTATGAAGCTTGCTCGCTTGCTTGCTCTCTAATACAGAGAGAAGAGAAGTATAACACCAACAACATTCGCCATTTTTGCTTTTTCTCGCTGTGTCTGCTTTATACTTGCTATAACACATTTTTCACTTTGAATACATACCCGCTTTTCTTATTTCCGAACCTCTTGGCTCGGTTCGTACCCAAAAATATTCTCAACCCTCCTATTCACTAACCCTCCTATTCACTATTTATTTATTATTTATTATTTATTATTTTTGTTTTAAGTTTGTAGATCAAAATTCAAATTCAAAAATATTATATTTTTATTAAAATATATTTATTATGTTATTAAAATATTTATAATATTATTTTGTTTTGGAAAATTTCACTTCTCGTCAAACTCTCTCCATTTTAAGAAAAATTCAATTTTTTTTTAAAAGAAATCCATTTTACCAATTTAAAGAATTTGTTAAAGATGATAATTTTTTATATTTAAAGAATTATTTGCATGTTTAAAACCTAATTAATATGTGATAAAATCAAATCCATTTAACTAAATACCGATAATAAGTATGGACCTTTTTTCTCGTTAGAGTTACTGAATATTTTTTTGGCTTTTAATTTTAGAATCTCATGAAATTAATCAAGATATGTATAAATTGGTGTGAACATCCATAGTTATTATTGTTTTTGTTATTGTATATTGTTTTTAAAGTAAATCGATTAAAATAACATATTATCTAAGTTATTTAAGGAATTAAATGAGTTGTATCTACTTTTGGTGTCATGGGAAATACGTTTTTCTTTTTGATTTACCCAAAAAAATTGTTAATAATTTTCTTTTAATTCAAAATTTGTTCTTTTAATTCAAAAAAGAACTTGATTATAAATGTAGTCGTTGATCATAACACGGGTTTGATTGTATATCTCAAAACGCTATACTTTTATAGAGGGAGTTTCAAATATAAATCATGTCATTCATACAAACCATATAAACATTTCTTAACATAGAGCGTTGTGAATAGCTAGTTTATACTGTTCTAAAATTATAAATAAACTTTCCATTATATACATATACTTTTAAAGTATGTAATTATGTGTTGGTTTTTTAAAGGAAGGGAATAAAAGTGTTGGTTTTTTTTAAAGGTAAGCATCAATTGGTATATGATATGTTGATAGCTTTATGGGTTAGTTTGGTCCATTGTCATGTCTAGGATCCTATGAGAAGTCAAAAGGTTTGTGGATTAGATGGTGTTTTCACCCCACATATACTTTTCCCAAACTACAATTTTTTATTTTTATTTCGATTTATAATTTCATGGCACTTTTATTACAAGATGTGTATGGTAAATTTGTAAATATGGTCTATATAATCGACTTTGAGAAAGTCATGACAACAATGTTCAAAGACTAGATTAAAAATACTGTGAATGTGATATTTGTTCTTGGCCCTAACAGTCATTACTCCTCTTCCATTAAGTGTAGTCACGTAAGGGTAATATAGTCATTTCGGTAAACTTCACCATGATCGTGTCGTTACCTTCATTATATTACTCCATAAACATCACGATTGTTGTTCTTTAAAGCTAGGTTCCATTAACAGTCATAAAAAACAGTAAGGGGATAAATCTAATGGTTCTTACCATAAATTCCAATTTGATTCAAGTAACACAAATAAGAGCGATCAAATAAACAAATAACATGAAGAGCACGAAAAAGGGACGTGGCATTAGGAAAAGGAAGAGCGTATCTAACAAACTTGTGTAAATTCATCATAAAAATTTGTGAGACAAAACCATTAATCAAAACCCTAAAATTTTGACCTTTGCCTCTGCTGCTTCTTTGGAGCTCCTTCTTCTCCTCAACCCTATACTCAATCCCCTTTCTCTCTCGATCCAAGCCTAGTCTCAATTTTGTGTATGTTTCTTGTTAAAAGCTATGCAGTTGATCCAAATCCATGCTCAATTCTATGTTCCTTTGTTGTTGAAAACTTTTGCAAGAGCAAATGCTCCGAGCCTAGAGTTAATGTCAAGGTCGAACATAAGACCGCTTCGCATATACCTCAAACAACTTATTTCAATCACTTTGAATCAAAAGCTCTAGAGACAAGTAAACTTTCCCCATATATTTCAATACCCTACCATCCAAATGTCATGCCTTTGGGTAACATTCAGTGGCTTGAATTCTGTTCCATACAGCTAGCATGATCTCACCATTTTAATCCCCTCGTTTGGTTTATACACTTGAAATGCCATTATACTCTTGGTCGTGTGATCCAAAATTAAATTTTCAACACCAAATGCTTGTATATATGTTTACACATTTGTACAACAAATAACTTAAGAAAATGACCAAATTGCCCTCCCATGATTGGCACATGGGTGATACTTAACGGAGGAGGGGGTAACGACCGTTAGGAGCAAAGACGAATCCGTAACAAAGTAGAAACCACAAAATATTTGTTGTACTTTCGAAAATTGAATGGCAGAAACATAATTTTTGTACATGGAGATTTTTTGTAATGTACTCATGCTCAAGCAATGTTAAGAACATATTGAGAATGATTAATCAATACAGACTTCTAGAGTACCTTTTTCTCTTGTAGGGACTAAACATTCTTTTTACATATCTCTAAGGACCATCAGTATAAATTATTATCCGATGATTATTTATTTACGAATTTAGACTCTTATGGACCATCAACATTAAACGATTAAAAGTTGAAAGCATTAATAAAAATTAATCGAAAATGAAAGCATATATGTGATACAATAAAAGAAGTATTGCATGTTCTCCTTGTAATGTCACTATGATCATTAAAAATGATTTTGATCATTTATAAGATGTAAATTAATACTGAGAAATTAGGTATACTGATAACGTTGTTGAATACTGTAATAATATTTCTAATAGTAATGTAAGTTTGTTAAAACATTGAATTATCATGTGATATAACTAAATGTAAATATTTGGCCATTTGATGCGAATAAAAGGACCCAACTTTATAACTAAGTGCATGCCACATAAGAAAATCGCTAAAAATGTAATATAAATTTAATTACCAGTTGTACCTTTATGGATGACACAATTTTCATTGTATTTGTACAAGACTAATTTTAACTGACAACTCTTGTTTCAGTTCATAACGTCTCGTCTCAAGAGCATCACGTGAGCAATGAATTAGGTGTACAATGGTCCGCTAGGTAACTAGCTTAAGAGTCCAATGTCCACAAGAAGCTGCAATCCCCAAATAAGTTATGACTCCCACATTGTGGCTACCATACTCGAAGCTTTGTTGGTTTGTGCAAAAATAACGCTGTGATCTTATTGTTTTTGCATCACTTGCATGACAACTTTATATTACAAAAAGACATTGTCTTATTTAGAAAATTTTCTCAATGTACAACCTTTGAGAGGGTTTCTTTTTTCTTTCAATTTTTATTATGTTGTTTAAAGTGAAAATAGTTACGGAGTTCATCGAACTGTAGATCGACCTTCCAAGTAAACACATCAATTACAAACCAATTGAACGGTGCCACTAACTTTAATTGTAACCATACTCGTTTATACAAAATCCGACTAAAAATGATACTATAAAATGATAAAATAAACACTATGCCCTTCAATTCTCTTTTATACTTAAGTATAAATACTTCAGCTCATAATTATCCGTTAGTGACTTGTACAACACATCTTCACCTTCACTACCACCCAACCCCAACAACGTCCCCGTTGCACCCACCACCCATGTTCAAACCGTGATTACTTTATTTTTTAAAAACATATGCAACAATTTTGTAATATATCACCTTTAATTTTCGATATATAAATCAAGATACGTATCTATAGAGGGTCATGAATTAGATAACATTTCAAAATTTGAATTCCACTATTAATGGATGTTGATAGCTTTGTCTTCTTTAATCGTTGATAAATGGTGGGATTACAATAACACCCCTCTCGCAACCCTTTTTTCAGGTGGTTTTTTATGAATTATTAATATTTTTATTCGATGATTAATCGTCAATTAAAACAATGAAAAATGTTAAATGATTTAAAATAATTAGAATAATAAGAAGATATTGACCCAACAATACAAGTATAACAACCACTTTTGTTTTGCTTATTTATGAAAAGAGACAATCACATTATTATAAAAGAAATTAAAAATTAATGGTTTTTATGATGTTACAAAAGAGTTTGGTATGAACAGGAGAGAGGTTGTGAAGATTTTTTGTGTTAGTTTTTTAATACATTTTAATTCAAAAAATGGGTTTGAATCGAATTTTAAAAAGATTAATATTATTGGTGTTTAAAGGGTTATATTACTTGATGTTTAATTTGTTCGGGAAAAACAAATATTAGACGTCAAATAACTACAGATAATTAAAAAAGCAAAGGAAAAATGGGTGAAAAACATCTACCCGTGTGCATAAACGGATCCAGATTTCTTTAGATGATCAGAGGCGCATTTAAGGGAGTTAAAAAATTCCGAAGCTAAATAATCATTCAAACCGAAACCATTTTGGAATACTCAAATTTGAGGTTTAACGGTTTGTTATTTTTTAGTATTTCGGTTGGACCTAATAGCATACTAGAACATCTCCAACAGAATTTCTCTAAAATGGAGAATCAAAACTCAAAATCTCTATAGAAAATTCATATCCAAATCCAACAAATTTTCTATTTTACATATTACAACATTGATTATATTATTAAAATATTATTCGTCTCTCATAAACATTTAACCTCTGTGTTTTCTTATTGGTGATGATATAATAATAAAAAAAGTTTGTTTCTCTCGATTGTTGTAATCATTTTTGGGAAGTTTTTCAAATTTAGAGAATTTCGCATTATTTTCATTCTTTCTTCATTTTGGAGAAAGTTTTTAGAAATATGTGGAAGCAAAAATTTGTCAAAAATCTCCATTTTTTTATTTTAAAAAATCTGTTATAAATACTTTTATACTATTGTTTTACTTTTATATGAACAAAATTGATTGTTTGAGACTTTGAAAATAGGACACAAATCTAAAAACATGGATACTTTGAGGTAGATAGGGAGAAAGTTTGAGGTTAA